AACTATTATGATTATCAAATCAAAATGGCAAATAAGCTTACGAAAACTTATTTTCAGTGTATAAAATAATCCTTCCTTTTGAAGTTTTCGTGAAAATATTCCTCAGGTTAAAAATCTTTAAGCTGTGCTAAAATTCAGAATCATATTATCTCTTAATTTCTTTAAAATATGCATAATATGGAAGGGTGAAGGGTAGTCATTGTTTTATTAATTTATTGAAGCCAATACAGTACAAAGTCGTAATCCGGACGTCCATTATCTGGAATGATCTATAAGCCGGACCTCAAAGCTATAAGCCGGACCTCAAAGCCACGAACTGCACATTTAATGTATAACAGATGGTATAAGCTAGGCAAAAATTATCTTTACCGATTCTAAGGCATTTCAGTTAATATTGCAGATTGCGCTGTTCCTTAATCTTTTCTTATTTTTTGCAGACTGTTAGAGCAATTTATAAAAATTAAGCTTGAACTTTCGAAGCCGCGATGATGATAGCCGCGAATTTGGAGGTTATCGGCCATCGCAAACTAAAGGTGAAATTTTCCAGTCATTGGATTTTGTAAAGAAATGTGGAGAAGCGGTAATAAATGAAGATGCTATAGCAGAAGTTTTCCATTGCAACAGCAATGCCCCAATCATCAATCAATCAATAGACATCAAAATCTGTAGTATGGTTGTAGATCCAGAAAATAGTGCTTCCGACAGTGAAGAAAATGACAGAGAGGTTATTGAAAACGAAAAAATTTTGATTGACAAGTTAGTCGGTATTCTCGACACAGCAGTTACAGTACTTGAACAGTGGACTTTGTAACTGAACAAGAAATAATGTCTGTTTATAGAATTAAAGAGAAAGTATTAGCACAAAAAAAGGAAGCAACTTAAACTACTTACATTGAAAGCAATGTTTAATAAAGTAAACAAATAAATATTAAGCTTTTTTTTTTTTGTAAATTTTGATACCTTTTAAATCATAATTGCTGTTTATTTCATAAATTACGGTTTCATTTTTTTTTCTTGTATAATTTCTGCATGTCATCTTACCAGATTTAAATTGATGATCTGTAATCCTGAAAAACTTCTAATCCGGAATCACTGAAGTCCCTACGAGTCCGGATTGCGGACTTTGTACTGTATATGTTATTCATCTGTATCTTAAGATGGCCAACTTGTTTGTTACCGGAATTTTTTCTCAAAATTTCTTACTAACTACCTATCATATTCACCCTTGGATTATAAATGTTGTGGAAATAGATAAGAATTATGAAATGATAAATCATATTCATTATCAAATTGCACCACTGTTTTGTGAGGATAAACTCTGTTAGAATATGTATATCATTATAGAATTGTAGATTTTATTAACATGTATATAAAGATAAGTTAAAATGATATAAGAGACATTTATAAATGGTCAAAAACCTGCTACAGTATTTATCCAATTATAAGTGTGGCCTTGCATATATCTTGAAAAATATATATTTGAAATATGCATATTAAATAACTGAAAAAAATATTAATCTCGCTAATTTTTTCATTAAGTAAATGAAAAAATGGTATATGCTGTTAAAAAAGTAAATTTGCAGTACATATATCAATATTTTAAAAATATATCAAAAAGCTAAAACTTTATCAAAGAGTATGAATGAAATGCCTATAAGCATATGTGGAAGATTTCTGCACCACCAGACAGTTGTTCATATTTTAGCAAAGAAAAAATAATAAATTGCTGGTGCATTGTGATGTATACAAATTATGGATGGGTGGAATTAATTTGGTGGCTGTATGTAATCTGTATAAATTTGGGATAAAACCATGCTTTGTTGTTTTATGTAAGTGTTTGATTCCTAAAATATTTAGTGCTAGAAAATTATGCTTTTATTGTAATGGTTTTTGAAGCTCGCACATTTTTAATTTGGGAAGTGAAATGCTTAATTTTTTGGGTTTATTGATTATTGTACCCTTGATTAGATTTCTTGGTCTTGTGTATTTTATTTCTAGTAAAATCAGGTTTGTATAATCAAAATTTTTCAGTTTTTCTTCAGATTTGTAATTTTTTACTAAACTGCATATCTTTTCATAATATTTTAAGATGCTTGTTTTAATACTTTAATAAAGAAATACTGTAGAATTAGATTATTCTTTGATTTACTGTGTAATACTGATTTTCTTTACTGGTAGAAAATATGATTTTTCTAGTATAATTTTATGAAACATTAAAAATACCTTTTAATTGTTTAATAGAAATGTAATAAAAAATTTATATTAAATCATTATGCTGCATGAGAAACATAACCATAGTAAACAATGTGATAAAATATTTTCATATTACCATACTTTTGACAAAAATCTGAAAAGTATTCATTATTTTAATAGAGCTTTCGAGGAAAATGTAAGAAAGAAAACTTCACATATAAATGTATAGAAATCAAAACAAGAGGTAAAATAAGAAAGAAATATTGAATATCTGAGAGCATGCAATTTTTATTTTTGTAGAAATTTCACTTGTATGTTGTATGCCAGTGGTCTCAAACTGGCGGCTTCCAAAACAGTGTTTTGTATATATACAAATTATAATGAAGATAATTTCCAGAAATTTCTTTTCAAGGTTTCAAACTTCAGAATCAAAGCACCATCAATTTTTAGGTGGTAGTAAGAAATAAAGAAGTTTATAATTATTTACATAAAGTTTAAATGTAAAGTGTGATCCAACTTATCAGCAAGAAGACTTGAATTCTACCAAGTATTGTATTACATGAAAAACAGCAAAGTAAAAATCTAAGATACTAAGACATTGATCTGAATGTAGAAATTAAAAATTAAGAAAGCAAATTTGCCAAGATTAATCTCCCTTGTTATTATTTACATAAAAACATTTGTCCTTTTATTTATGTGTCAAAGAAAAATTTAGAAATAACTTGCCATTACTTATTTTTAAGTTTTGTTCCATTTGGAAAATTTTCTACATTTTATAATTTGTTGATTGGTTATAATTTGGAAAAGTTTTCATAATTTGAATTAGTTTAAAGTTGGTATTTAATGACTAATTAAACATGTTAGAATAACTTTAAATAAATGTCATTATGAAAATTTAATATTTAGTTGTCATTATATTTGATTTACTAAGTGTGGCCATGAAAAATATCTTGCAGGTATGAAACTTTAGATTTCAATAGAAAGTAAATATAAAATTGATTTTTTTCCTTTCCCAGTATTATTATTATTTTTTATATATGTTTTGATAAAATTTAGTGAGCAAAATTTAAAATTTATTAAAAGTACTTTTTTATTTCTTAATAAAAAAACTCATTTTATGAAAAAAAATGTCTGGCCCATCAGTTATTTTTAGATCATGCAGTCCAGCTTGCATGCAGTTTGAGTTTGAGACCACTGTGTTGTGCATAAAGTTGTATGCCATATGTATATATAGTGTGCATGGTAACATATTTTAACATAATGATAATGATGTGAACTGTGTAAATTTTTAGGTGTACAATCGGAAAATTTTTATTATTTACTACATCTGGGAATGATATTTGGATTTAACCACTTTAGGGAAGTTTGGTTGGTACTAAGATAACTTCACTTGCAATCTGTATACAAGCAACTTTGGTTCTTCCTCTGTTTTGGTAATGTTAATTTTTTTAAGATAATTAGGTACTTGTATATAACCAGTACTCACTGAAAGTTTGCCAAAAGTATTCTCATTCATGCAAGCATTTGAGAATTCTAGAAGCTGTTCCAGATAGAAAGATGCTAATGTGATTTTTAGTTTCTTGTTGATGACTTTTTTTTCTATTTGCTAAGGGAGATAAAGTTATTTCAGCATCTATTAAGACAAATAAAATAAGCAATAAAAGCAAATAATCTAATAAAAATAAGCAATTAAAGCAAGCACATACCACCATTGCATAATTTTTTTGGTAGTCCTTGCCTGTAGAAATTTCTCAAAATAACTTTTGCTTATCTCGCGGTAATTTTTACTGCATTTTTAATCATGTATTTATTAAATTTGTCAAGAAATAGAGAAGGAATATTTCCAGGCATTGTGCTATTTTGCCAAAAAGTACATGAGTATTTCAATTCTCATGTATTGAAATTATGCATAACAGAGGATATGCAATGCAACATTAGCAATAGCAAAATAGCTTTGGAATAAGAACTTGGAACTGTTTTGAAGTCATTTGCCTTCCTATAATAGTTCATATGAAGGCAGAGACAATTATGGAGAACAATTTTGAATGCAATTGCAAAACAGTATATGCCAGGAAGAAGAAGAAGAGTGAGAGAAAGTTAAACTGGCTTTATTGATTTGCTGGCACTGTACTATATTATGTTGCTTAAAGGCATCAGTAGATTGGTTTTGTTGTATTGGCTAATACCCAGGTACTGGTATTTGTTTCAAACTGTGACAGATTTATCTGCTTTAATCAGATATTTTGGTAAAAAAACACTAATGCCAATTTCCTATACTGATGGTAAATAATTTGTGTCACACTTATAATTCAGATTTCTTCAGTCATATTTCCTGATGTTATTCTTACTATCTATCAGTCTATTCACTTTTAATGATGTGTAATCTCATTACATCAGATATAAAGCTTTCAGCAGTACTCTGTGATTCTCTGAAAAAAGCAAGTAACATTTGTTTCTTTAAATTGTAGAGCTTCATTAAAAATAACCATTGGGGAGTACTGGAACTTATTGAATGAGATCGAACATGCTAGAGATTGAGATCATGGTTGCAGCTAGGAGGCAGATATTCATTGGTAAAATATCTGTCACCAACCAAAATTCCCAGTTGTGGTTAATGTATAAATATACTTGAAATTTTATCAAATTGTTTTTTAAGTGTGACTATTTTTTTTAAAAGAATATCTTTTGAATTGAATCTTTCTTCACAACTCTAAGATAGACCAATATTTCTGCTACCTGCTAAAAATGTGCCCTTTTTATTGCTATTTGAATTTTAATTATTTTGATATTTTAAACATTCCCTGTAGAACTTAATGGATTTAATCATGAAGCAAGGATCATTGAATGCACAGAGATTCATAACTGCTGTTGACATCTTAAAACCAGAGTATTTAGAAGGAATTTCAAGAGCATTATGGTTACGTTTATATGACCAAGTATGTGTATATGTTTTATCTCATGGAAGAAATATTTTAAGATTTTAATTGTAAAAAGCATCTGAAATTATATAATCTTTGAAATAAAATAGGCACAAATTTTTATTAATACTTAATTAACATGCATTATCTGTAATACTGCTATGGATTTTGTATTTAGTTAGCTATTTTTAGTAGAATTATAATTTTTTTTTTTTTTTTTTTTATCCCTGTGCAATGAAACACGTGTCATATTTTAAGAGACAGGCTACACCGGAAAAGTAAAAATACAGGAGCATGTGCATTTAACATTTAATAAATAGATATCTCGTACTATAAATTGAATAAATGTAATTGACTACTATGTTAGCTGTAACCGTAATTCTACTCTTTTGCTTTCCAGAAATCTTGAGATTTTTTGGAAATTACTAGACTCTCTTGTGACTGATTAAAAACTTTAAAAAGCTGAAGAGAAAATTTCAGCTCAGTTGTTTACTTAGCTGCTGTAATTTTGTTGATCGGATTAGCTTTCTTTGCACTATGGATTGCGTTATAATTAGATTTTTAATACTTTAAAGTATAGCCACTGATTATATTGTGTGATATTGTATGAATATCTCTGAGGAAAATTCCAGATTTGTTATATTTCTTGTAATAAAAAATTTTATTAACTTTTTATCGGACTTGTGCAATTAATCTATTACGAACCCATACAACGCAAGAATACTGTGTTCTAAAGGATCTTTACATTGTTCTTCAGAATTTCAAATACTGTATGTAATGTGAAAATAAATAATGGAAGGCAATGAGGTATTTGTTAATTCTAGTAAATTTGGGTTTGTATGATCTGAAAGAAATGAAAGTTTTCTGACAAAATTAATTCTTTCTGGACACACATACTCACACACACACACACACACACAGGGGAAAAAAAAAAAATAACACTATTGCATGACAGGTTAGTTCTGGAAGATTAATTCCATGCATTCTTAAAATTAGAAATTTAAAATAATTAATGCCTTTTTAATTAAAAAAATATAACTACTCATTTTTTTCCCATACAATTTTTTTAAAAGAATAGAAATTAATTTCTCTTTGTTTTCTTCTCTAGCATAAGGATATTACTGAAGAAGAAAGCTTTAAAGAAGTAAGTGTTATTATACAGTGTGTTTTTTAAAAAAATTCAGCTGAGCAGAGCTTGATTTGTTTCTAAATATTACCTATTCTTACAGGCTGCACATTTAATAGAAATGGATCCTGAAATACTAGAAAAATCTCTTCATGCAATGCATGATAACAAGACTAAGCAGAGATTACGAAAATATACAGATGATGCCTTGGAATATAGCGTAAGATTTTAATAATGACTATTTGCTTAAAAAATGGTTTCTGTGTAAAAGTTTACAGTTATTAAAAAACCAGGAAAGACCAAGAATTTTTATTTTTTACCTTTGATCCCTTTTTTAACACTGCAAGATTAAAATAATTCCACTGTGAAAGAAGTTCACACCAAATCTAAAATTTGCATAATGGTTGATGATTATGAGGTATACAAATGATTAACAGTTCACAACACAAGTAATGATTCCTTGAAGCATTGGAAAAGCAAATTGAAATACTGATTTTTCCTTCAAAAATCGCATTTACTTGTTTTTAATCTCGTAGGTCATGTTATGTCTCATATAAGAAAACAGAGCTCATATCAGCGTGTCTTATAATGTAAATTGCAGAAAAATCATAATCTACTAGAACTGTGAATTGTTATCTTGCACAACTGTTGCTTACATTAATCAAGATCTAATGACTGTGATGAGAACTTGGATTTGATGAATCTAGTAAGGCTGTACAGATCAAGGCACAAGATAAAAGCTATCTCTTCAACATCCTTATTAGGAATCATACATCCACATCACGTACCCTGTGTCAGAAAAGTGAGTGCATTGCACACCACCAAATATTCACATATACAGTAGGGTAACAGATTCTTAGCAAGGCAGTGATTGCTTTGGTATCTCTTGATGTAATGATATAGTAATCAGCAAATACAGTGATTATTTAATGATGTGAATGGAGGTATCAGTGGCATGATGTCATTTTCTGACAAATCTCTGTTTTACTAATAACAGGATGGCCATATCTGTTTTTGGAAGCACTGGAGGGAATGCATGTTGGAAGCATGCTTTCATTATCATTATCCTAACCCAGCACTTGGATTGGTGGTATGAAGTTCATTAGTACACTTACCATTCACCTCTAGTCTGCATATCTTGTACTTTGACCAGCTACCATTATATTACGGAGACTAATGCCCATGCTTGTGCAATATCTGGGATTTACCATCCTGCCTTTCAACAGGACAATCAAGACTATGTATTATCTGCACTAACCTGCATTTCCTTAATACACACAATGTTTGCCCTGGCTGGCACATTCTCTGGATTTCTCCCCAGCTGAAAACATTTGGCCAATGTGTGTAGGGAGACTGGCATGATACCACCTCCAACCAGGGCAACAGATGAATTCGAATATAGAATTGAAGCCATAAGGATTGCAAAACTTGTTAACTACCATCCAAAGTCTGTTTGACTGTATCCAGCCTTATAACTGTTGCTATTGCTGACAGTGATACATAATTGGATCATATCGTTTCAGCATGTTTCATACCTCAAAATTACCTGAAATTTTAATTATTTCTCGTCTCCATTATAATGTATTTATAAAATAGATATGATTTTTCTAACGGCTTTTCATCATAATGCAGCAATTTTATATACAATATATTATGCCTTAATTTTAATGGATTTAATTTTTATTTTACCAAGTTAAGAACATTATAAGTACACATTTTAAGTGTAAGACCTTTATATTTTTGTAATTAGTAATGTTTAACTCATGATGAAAAAACAAATTTTCTAAAAATCTATGCTTATGAAAATGTACTTTTAAATATAAATTAAAATTATGCTTTAAAAAGTAAAATTTATTACATATTTTCTAAAAGCATTAGTAGCAGTATGATAAGTTTTGAAATTTAACAGTTTTCTTTTAAATACTGTTTTGATCTGAAGATGATTTTTCTTCTTTTGATATCTCTTTTTTGAAACTAGACTTGATACATATAAGTAATACTCAAAAAATACTGAAATATTATTTGTCGCTTATTCTTTAAAAAAAAAATCTGATGTGTACACCACATGACTTCCTTGTACAGAATATTAAATTATACACATTTTTTCTTCATTTCATTTAAACTTATTAGATTGAATTAAACCTACTTAGTCGACAGCACATAAACCACAATAGAATAAATGCATTCTTTAAAATTCACTTTGTTTACCATAGCGACACTCTAGCGCTAGGTTTACTTACCATAGCGCTAGGTTTACTTAAGAGTATTATATTTTGTTCTTATTATAACTCAGAATGCACAAAATTTATATCATTTAAAGAATTATCTAATCATTGCCACATGTTCTATTCAAATACTATGAAAGCTAGAACTATGTATAAAAGAAATTAAGCAAACAAAACAAAAAAGAAACAGTTTTTCACAGACGATTGAGTATTTCTCATTCAATTAATTCAGTTTTTATTTCGTGACAAGGCAAAAATACATAAAAACTCAAAATATCTGTATTAAAAATTACGAAGTAAATCTTAAACGCTTATTTCCTCGAAAAAATTCCAGAAAGGATTAAGCATGATTTAAATAATAAATGAAGGCGTTATCTTTGTTGTTGCAAAGCTAAGTTTCTCTAGATTGGCAACAAATCCACTACTCAGCTGTTTCAAATGCAAACAAGAGCAATGGCCGCCATGCCATAAAAAAATTAGGCTTAGTGGCACTTAAACAACTTTTAAAATTGTTGATAATTCTAAAAAATATTTGCATGCAGATTTACTAAAGGCATAAAAACCCTTAACCAAAGAAGATAAAAACAACATAATTCAATCATTTTTAAAGCAAAAAATGTACAATTTACAAACATATAAGAGTAAAGAAACTGAGATCACTGAGTCGGGTAACAGAGTGGATATATTTATATACGTTTGGCGCGGCCGATTGAAACCAAAATACGAGGTGCACATCTACGTTATAGTAGTCTTATATACAAAATTTCAACGTTCTGAGGCTACTCATTTTTGAGTTATGCGAGATATGTACGTACGTACATACGCCACGAAAAATTCTCTTCAGAATTCATTTTAAAGCAGTTTTTTAGTTTTTTTTGGAGGAAAAGAGTCTTTTATTCTGTTCTTATGTACAGATATCATGCAAAAACATGGTTAAATTGCATTCGAAAGCGGTCAAAGTGGATATTTTCGTTGAAATATGCTGCCTGAAGCTTTTTGCGATTACAATACTTCCTTTTTACTTCGTACAAGGAAGTAAAAAGACATACAGTATACTCTTGATTATCTGGGCTAATGCCGGGGAAGCAGGTCATAGATAATTGAAAAAGACTGATAATCCAAATTATTAATTTTTCATGCATATTTTGTGCATTTATTTCTTAATAAATCAGTAATTTTAGTTTGTTTTTCAGAATGTTTATTATTTATTGGATTTTGATGCATATTTTTCAAAATACTATTTTATCATTGTATTTGAGTCTCCTTTGGTGGATAAAGTCCAGTGTAATGATAAAGTGTATAAACTGAACTCTGAAAAGTGAAAATATTGCTAAAAAATAGAATAGAAAAAATAGGTAGAAATTTCAAATTGTTTTAGCATTTCAGTAATATTTCATCTAACTTACTAAATCTTTTTGTAAACATTTATGATTAGTTTGAATTTCAGGTATTGTTCTTTAATGATAGTTGCAATTTTCAGCACTTTCTAATTATCTGCATTCCCACCGAAAATTTGAATTTTTGGACGAATTTGTTGGTAATTTTGGAGAGTATTTGAAAACCCGTTGGCAACTAATTTTTTTTTTTTTTGCCAAAGGCAAGAGCCATTAATTAAATTAACAATAAACATCGATAATAAAACAGTTACCTTTCTTGAGAAATTCTTATGTAATTTTTTTGTGTTGTTCTACCCTTGTGCACAGCAGTTTGTTTTTCGCTTAAAGAAACAATTTATCATCTGTACAAAGTCAGCACTGCACACTGGCCAAAACAGACATGTATTGCTTGCATGCCTGGTTTGTTGCATAATCATTTTGATGACATACTGCATTGACTCATGAATCTTTCTTGCGACTTTTCTTTCTCTTCTTCTTTCTTTGAGACTGGGAGTGCAGATAATAAGAAAAATCTAGTTTTCTTTCGAATTTCATTTTAGTTATAATTATCTGTAACTCTGCAGTATCTAATTTTAATTTGATTTAGTAAGTACTTAAATATTTTTTGTTGTTCATCTGCATGAACCTTTTTCGTGTTTTTATTTCTGGTTATCAGAAAAGGAAAATAACAATCTTAAAAAGGAATTCAGATAACATTGACCATTTTTCTAATTTAAGTATTACTCTATTATATGAACCGTCTTTATTTAATATTTTATTTCATAGTATTTTTAAAGGTAAAAATTATTCAATATTTTTAATTTATAAAAATGTTCACTTTAGAATATCAATTTTATTTCTTTTATGCGTGTACATGAAAATTAAAATTTTTGATATAGGCCTTTGGAGCACCAATGATTGTAGCACATGTCAGTGGAACACCAGAAGTATTTTTTGGGTCTGACAGATTTGAATTACTTGCATACACCTTAGGTAATGCTTAAATTTTTAAACTGGAATATAATTTTAAATGATATTTTACCCTATAGATAATAATTTTTATATTTTGTTTCAGGTGAAACATGGATGGGACCTGTACCCAACAAGTTGACATGTAAACTATAATTGTGAATTTATTTGAGAGCAGATGATATATATGTCAGCTACATGAGCTTAATTGTATATGGGAATATATTTGTTTATTGAAATGTAAATAATGTAATGTGTATGAAATATAAATATTCTTTATAATCCTGCAAATCATTTCACAGTGAAGTACTTAATGATAATTCTTCCAAGGTTAAAGATAATTCTAAGATTCGAAGGAACTTGAATTCAGTGAATGTAATAAATTATGCTCTTCCTTAACTTTGTAATATGAGAAGAATTTTTAACTCTGAAGCTGCAGCAGGATCTGCCAAGTGAAAGCAAGTTTCACTGTTACACAAATAAAATTTGAAATTTCTGAAAAAATTAGATAAAGACATACATATCTCAAAATGGTGCTAAGTGTGTGGATATTAAAAAACAGAAAAAGGAACTTTCGGTATTTTCGTCAACCCACCTGTAATGAATAACAGAAAATCTCATTATGCAGCGAGGGTGTGCCATTGATAGGTCCAGTGCTTAATAGCTCAAATCAAAATATTTCATGAGGAAATAGGCATGAAAACCAAGTGCACATATTCATTTAGCAGCTTGGTTAACCATAAAATTTCATCGTATATGACAGTAAAAATTTTCGGCAGAAAAGCTTCAGTTGATACTGAATTGAATCAAACCAGCAGTTTGCAGATTAGGTCACTGAATTCATTAATAACAAAAAAAAAAGTATCTCCTGAACAAACTTATGCTGATAAAACTGGCAGTATGCGTCTCGAAATATGTAGAGACCTCTACAGAAAAGGCCACAACTGTTGTCTAAATGTTGCAGATTGCGCTGTTACTTAATCTTCTAATTGGATCTGGCTTATTCTTTTTTGCAGACTGTTAGAGCAATTTTATAAAAATTAAGCTTGAACTTTCAGTTATGTGATAGTGAGGAAAGTCACAGAGAGCTACTGAAAATGAAAAAATTTCGATTGACAAGTTAGTCTGTATTCTTGACACAGCAATTACAGGACTCGAACGGTGGAACTTTGTAACCGAACAAGAAATTATGTCTGTTTATAGAATTAAAGAGAAAGTATTAGCACAAAAAACGAAACAACTTACATTGAAAGAAATGTTTAATAAAGTAAATAAATATTAAGCTTTTTTTTGTGTACATTTTGATACCCTTTAGATCATAATTGTTCTTTATTTCATAAATTATGGTTTCATTTTTTTAATTGTACAATTTCTACATGCCATCTTACCAGATTTAAATTGATGATCTATAAATCTGAGAACACCCCTAATCCGGAATCGCCGAAGTTCTGACAAGTCCGGATTACGGACTTTGTACTGTATTAATTTTTGGTTTGGCAAATGATAAATGGAACATGGAAAATATATTTCTATTATCCTACAAGTAATGATGGATGAGCTTTGTTAAATTTCAAATGTACTACCAAGCATAGCTTTTAATTTAAGTTTTACTAAATGTCTGTTCTGAGAGTTAAACTTTTAATTAAGTATGAAGACAAGAAAACTGTAGAGACTATTATTCAATAGTTTATTAGGTTTAACATATGTATAATGTGAATACAAACCAGTTTTCCTTTGGAAAAGCCTTCATAAGGCTAGAGAGTAATTAAAAATAATTAGTAAAGTGGACCCTTCCCTAAAAAAACTTCGTCATTTGCCCGCAAAAAAGTGATTTTTGACGTCTGAAAATGCTTTTTTTTAGATGCATATAAAAATGACAGAAGTCGTTTTATCCCTGAAATATGCAGCGTTTCTGCATTGTGTATGAGAGTCTAAAAACGTCGTGTTCCTGTTCTCCAATGAGAATCATGCGCTGCTGCAAGTCATCTGGCATATACAGTACAAAGTCTTTAATCCGGACTCGATGGGACTTCGCCAATTCTGGATTAGGGATTTTTCCAGATTATAGATCATCAATTTAAATCTGGTAAGATGGCATGCAGAAGTTGTAAAATTAAAAATATGAAACCGTAATTTATGAAATAAAGAGCAATTATGATCTAAAGGGTATCAAAACTTACAAAAAAAAAAGCTCAATATTCATTTGTTTACTTTATTAAACATTTCTTTCAACGCGCGCATGCGTAAAGCATACATTACGCATAGTCGAAATTAGAAAATTGCAACCAAAACCATTTGATGTGTATTCATGATATTTATGACGAAGAATTTGATTTAAATCATATCAAAGACCAAGTATGTCGAGATGAAATACTACATTTAGTAAGGAATTTTAAGACTAATAAAATAAAAACATCTGCCTTGAAGATGAGGATAGTGCTGACAGATCAACTTCCAGTTCATTGCGCGCCGTGATGCGCAATGAACTGGAAATTTAAACTTTAAAATTTTTTCATATCTGCAACAGTTGATTTTAAACAATTTTGTGGTTCTTAAATGACATTTTTCCTACAGTAGAAAATTATCTGTACTTCTAATGTATCTAGCTCATAACATACTGTAAGATTTTTTTAATTGTAAATAATGCAATAAACCCTCTCTGCAGTGATGACTCACGATTCCAGATGATTTTGATCTTCTGTTCAGATGGTCTCGTAAAGAAATTTCACTCTAATTTCAGTTCTATGAATCTTTACACGACATAAGTAAAATACTATTTCTTATTTTACTTATTTCATTTAACATAGCAGTGAGATTAAATTATATAGAGAGTTTTTAATTCTGCCCCTTCCAACTTTAGAAATTTTAGTCATTGTGTGAAGAAAAATTGAGTATGGAACTGTTTCATTATTAATATAAAGAATGATTTTGAATAATAAATTATTTGCGTATAGTTGAATAATTGCAAGAACTGGAACATTTCCTGCCTGCTGCGTCCTCCCACCCCCCCAAAAAAAAACTATATACAAATTTATAAAACACGTAAAGCATTGCTAGAGGTATAATTTGCTGTGAATTTAAAAAATGTGTAAACATTATCACAATCACTTTTATATGCATTTAGAAATATAGTTGTTATGTACAATTAATTTTTTTAAGGAAATCCAATTGGTGTATTGAGAAACCGTCAGTACATTATGGAATCAAGTATTAATTACCAATAAATTCATAAACTTATTTGAATCTAATTACAAAATAAGTTAGAGAAATGTTTTAAAGTAAAATTTCAGTCGATGCTTAATGAGAAACATATTTAAGAATGTTTTTTGAAATATACAAGATTTAAGTAAATGAAATATATAATTGAAATTCCCACATTTTAAGGTCTAATTCTTAATTTTATTTTGACAATGCATATTTGAGTAATAATTAAATTTTACTTCTTTTAATTTATATTTTAGAGAGATGAGTATTATTTTCTGAGTTAACTCAGATAAGCATAAAAAATCGAATGATAAATTCTCTCAAGAAAACTAAGAGTAACATTTAGGATAACCAAATAGGATGATGATTATCCAGCTTGATGGTGTTTTATGTTAAGATTTAAATGAAGAAAAAAGATTCTAGTTTTTGAAACAAATTTTTCACAGAACTTGTAAGATTTGAAAACTGGAAAGAATAATCCGAAAAAACTTATTTTAATGATAGCTTGACAAAAAATTTTATCTAGAATAGCAGATCTCTAATATTCTATCACATCAGAGTTTAAAATGTTCATGTATGTATAAAAATATGCAAATTGGGAATATATTAATAGTATGTGAAAGAGAAGAAAGGTTAAAGGCAATTACAGTAATAACTTTTGCCTTAATTTTTTTAGTCCAAAAGGGCTTTGTCTCTGAAGGAGTATTATTTTCATTTTGCGATTTTGCGTTGAATCACTATAAATGTCCGTTTCACTTTTCAAACTGTTGCCACCAAATGTTAGAGTCCTGCATTATATTTGAAGAAATTAAATAACAAAAAATCTGCATAAATGTAGGTATATTTCTCACATTGTAATAAAACAACAGTACCTAGAGGCATCGAATTTTGAATGACGTCATCCTCCTACGAATATGGGCATGTGTAAGACGAAATTTGGAATTTGTTTTATTATCGATTTCATATTTGTAAAACTTTAATGAATTTTTGAGTAACAAACTCAACGATTTAAAAGCGAGCAATGGTAACACTATGGAGGAAAAAAAACCTTTTTATCTCCAGTGTGTGGAACTGTGTATCAGAAATACTAAAGATAGGCTCATTTTTAAATTATTTTGCGACATTGCTATTGAACTGAATCTCATGGTGTAAGTGCAAAGAACTTAATAAAGGTAACACACAAAACGTTAAAAAACACCTTTTTGGATGTAATTTAAAATAAAACCTTTCAGATTTTTTTAAAGACCATACTGCAATACATGCATAATTACTTATTTTTAAATGCCACCCTTAAATTATCTAAAATTGTTTTGAAATGGCTTATCAGTCAAAATTTCAGTGCTTCTTAAATAATGTTTTTAATATTGAAATTATATGAATGAAAAATAATATTTTGTAATGGAATTTTTTTATTAACAAAATTAAAAAGCTTAAACAAATATGCACAAATTTATCATGCTTGTTTTATAATAAGATAATGAGAGAGTCAGATATGAGCAATAAATATCAAAATATTTTATTTCCAATGATAGCTTTCAGTATCCTTGTGTGGCCTGTAATAGAACTTAGTGCAATAAAAAGATCATTATTTGATGATGTAAACACCATTGCTGTATTAATTCCTGGTGCTGGAATTTTCTGAATGACCTGAAAGCCAATATAGCCTCGATATTGCAGAATGTAAATAGTCTGAAAGTGTTTACTACAAGCCAAAACATACATCTCTCCTAAAAATAGAATGAAATAAAAAATTTATTCAATAACCTTAGTTTTGAAGCATATATGCTTAATATTAAAATTTAATATTAAACATACAGGGTGAATCTGAACAAGTGGGTAATATTTAGAGGGTGATAGAAGGCAGCTATACAAGCAATATTCATCATAGGATATATGGTCAGAACGCAAATGGCAATCCGCCAAGCAGCATTGTAAGTAAATAATATAAAAGGATTTGGTCCTTGCACCCAAAGCATTTTCTATTATGGACTGCTGAGAGCATTGCTGGTTATATGGACCACGGAATTTCCAGGGTGATGGATTCCAGGATGATCAAAGTGGTCCACCAAGATCACTGGATCTCTCATGTTTGGACTTTTTCCTGCGAGACCATATGAAAAGCCTAATCTCCGAGTGCCCCATTGAAACCAATAGGGATCTATTTGCCATTGTTGCCGATGATATCGGGAAATGCCTGTATCTTTACAAATGTGCGTCAATCCCTATCCCACAGGTGTACAGCTGGCGGAAGGCCTTTTGAGCAATTTCTACGAGTGTTTTCTGAAATATCTTCTCTCGTTCTTGTGTGAATTCTGTAAATATGACAGTGGAAAACTACCCTTTAACTTCTTGCCGCTTGCGTTTTGACTGTACATTCTATGACAAATATTACTTGTATAGCTGTCATCTATCACCACCTAAAGTTTTGCCCACTTGTTCAAATTCACCCTGTATTTAAAAAGAATTAGAGGATTAAATATGAAGTTTCAATAGTCATATATAAACTAGATACAAAATCATTTTTTTAATAGCAGCATCAGAGCCAAATTTAGACTTGATAAGGCCCTAAACTATTTAAGATAAAGGGCCTAAGTCTGTTATACTATATTTTAAATTTTTTGAGAGGCTCTCAACAAAGTGGGGGTCCTAAGCTAGAGCTTGTGCAGCTTATACGTAAATCCAGCACTGAGCAGCATTTATATATAAACTTGTCATCAGAAAAGCTTGCTTTGATTTCTGCATCACCTTTTATTATGTTATTAAAAATATGATCTTCATGAATAACTAATTTAAACACACACAAATCTTGCAAATATTTTAGCTGTTACATGTATATATGTATACATATTATATAATTTAAAGTTAAGTTGTAAGAACAAATGTAAAAAGGACCTATGTGGTAAAAAATATTGTGCTGCAAAATTAAGGAAATTAGAAGGTAAATTTTAGTATGCACGCTAAAAAGTTACCAAAAACTGTGGCTCTGTGAAAACTTCAACATAAGCATAGTGCATTATTTTTAGAAACCTCAAGAAAATTTATAATGGTTAAATTTTATAAAAATTACAAAATATATCATATGAGCTTTCTTGCAAGATTTAAATAGTACACTTTACAATTATAATCCTTAACCCAGTGATTCTCAATTTTTTTTTTTTAAGTCTTATGCACCTTTTTCACCATTACTAGATCATCATTTCCTCCCCTTACTTCAAAAACTTGAAAAAAGATACACTTATTTAAATTCAAGTTATTAATGTGATTTTTGAATTAAACAAGATATAGCAAATGCTAATATCAAAACTTCAATAAAAGAAGTTTTTTATATTCATAAACTAAAAAATTAACAAGTAAATAAAAGCCCTGCATTTTTTATAGGTGTGTAAGAAAAGGTTAGAATAATTGCCTTGCAACATATTGACAAGTTCTACCAAATTGTTCCATGAACAACATTCAAAAGCAAATATCTAGAAGACAAGTAGGAAAACGCATGCGGACAAGCCACCATATGAAACAATCTCTATGAATGATAGGATGGCCTACTCCCTATGAAGGTGGCAAATGCCACGAGAAAGACAAAAAATGTCAAATTATAAAACATTAAGGAATATTTTTAAATGATTGAGGAAAAAAATGTCAATTTTGAATTCCTAGGAAGGAAGAATAGCCTACACTTCATTTCACTCATTTTATATTGTAATAAGATTTAGCAGAAACACCAAATATCAATTTTAATATTTTTAATATCTTTAATTTATAATATAAATTATTACTGTTGCAAATATTTTATTATTATCCCATTCATAAACAGTTTATATAAAGATTTGCTTTTTAAATTTTTAATATAAAATATTAAAAACTTGGTGAAACAAAATAACCTTTCTAGATGCTTAAATAAAACCTATATTACTATAGGAAACCCTTGCCGAGACTGGTATTTTGGACAGTGATTTCATTTATAAGTGCTAGCTTAATCATTTCCATTTAATTTAACAAAAGCTAGAATTTCATTTGTATGCAGTTCAACATTTATTTATCAACACTGATTGCTTGCTGACAGCAACAATTTTAAAGAGTTTCCAATGATTGAAAATGAAGCCAAATTGCAAAAGCTGTTGGCTGTGAAGGATTTTCAGCTATAGAAGGAAAAACGTCAAAGCATTAAATAAGAAACGGCAGATGAAAAAATGGATGATTTTACAACACAGCTGACAATGAAAACAAAAATAAAAAAAAGATAAAGTGCCTTTATATTAGAATTTAAGCTAATCATAGAAAAAAAATGAAAAAGGACAGAAAAACTGATTTTGCAGTGGAGATTGACCTAATTGAAGAAGGAATGGGAAAAAAGTTTGCTCCTTAACGCAAAACTTTGAAAGAGTTGAATCAGACAACATTCCAAGCAAAAATCACCAGCTTTCCATAAAACAATTGGTGTATTTACTAAGCAGTAGTAAAAATCCTTTCAGTTGACATGTTTAGTTCTTTTTTCCTTTTAACTGTTATTTTATTATTTAAGCTTGTTTAAATTATATATGCTTTCTTAACCTGAATTATAGCTAACATTTTTTCATACAAGGTTAACTTTGCAGAGTACGAGTGCCATGTGTTAATGATGAAACCCTCACGTTTGATAAAGTTTAACTGTGTTATTATGGAGCTCTGCTGTTAAAAAATATTTCTCTTCACAAAATAAAATAAAAAGTAGCCAAAGAAAAATTTACCATCCAAATTGAATCTGTCAAGAAAACTGATGCCTTGGACTTCAACTGTTTGATATAAAATCAGTTCATCGTAAAGAACGTATACCTTCCAGTGGTTGTGTATAGACATCAACCCATTTTGAGTTCTTCAAAATTTTTGTCTTTTCTTTTGCAAGTAGGAGGAAAACATCTAATTCATTATCAACCCATAGTACTGAAGATGAAACTGCATTTGAAGAGTTGATTTTCAAGCTGAACTGTTAAAAAAGTTATAATTTACTAAACAAGATAAAAGTTATGATACATATTTAACAAACTGAAATTTAAACTCTTCTGAAATGAATGTTAGTATTTATTCATTAATTTGTTTTATGTTATGAAATGTTTTGGGAAGTTTTAATTTTGTTTAAATATATAATAAGCATAAATTATGAATGAAGAATCTACATATATTTTGGTTTATTTGATAATGACAAAGTATTCGAGGGCTTTGATTACCCGAGGCCTAAAGATAAGTATGCCTTCGTAGAGGGCTTTCTCAGGGAAACTGGCTTGTATACATGTTACACACAAAAAAAATCATGAAAGCACTCATGCAGCCAGCTCATTCGCCAGGATTCGAGCCTCGCTCAAACAACCAGTGTTCAGCACATTTACCACTCGGCTGCCGATTGGCTTAAATATATTGTTGCATGCTTACGGGTTTGCAATAGATTGAATGCACAGGTCTGATAACAGGTTAATAAAATTTATTTTTATCAAAAGAAATATTTAAGAACTCTGGAATTTTTCACAGAAATATTCATACAAGTGTTCACAGTACAACCAGTTAGTTACACTTCAAACTGCTAAAAACAACTCACAACAATAATGAAGCAATTGAACTCGGATGGTCTCTGTCCAGGTTTTTATGGTTTTCAACAGAAATATTTCCAGAACTTTCTGCCTCTCGAAATTACTAGAAAGCTCTACAATAGTGGAATTACGGTTACAGCTAACATAGCGATCAATTACATTTAATTTCAATACATATTACAGTGATACAGGGACCAGACCAAAATGTTGTCAAACTTGGAGACAAACCAAGTTGCCAAAAACCGTTGTCACCTTGCCAATATCTCGCCAAATTGCAGAGATACCCATTTATTCAATGTTAAATGCACTTGCCCCTGTATTCCTACTTTTCTGGCATAACTTTCTCTTAAAATTTGTCTTGCACTACATTACACAGAAAAATACAATAATTTTACTTCCAATTCTACTAAACATACCTATCTAAGTAGAAAGTTCGTAACAATATTTTGAATTTCAAATGTATATGAATAAAATCTAACTTATATCCATTAACTTGTATCCATAACAAAAATAAACTTTAAATTATTGCAGTTTTCTTTTATATGTGTATATTAAAAACATGACAAAATACAATGGTGTTTTTTATTATACAATAAATGCTTTAAATAAATGTAATGCAGTAAGAAATACACATTTAGGAATAATGCCAAAATGTCAACAGTGTTTTTGCTGATCATGCCATGATATAATCTCTCACTATTTATCAATAACCTCAACCTAACTCTAACATCTTTAAGAAAAATCTGAGATATTACTTTCTGTTTGGGTAAAATCATACCTCTGATAAATAATTAACTTTCAACTGATGACAGATATGATTTTCATCTTCAATATTGTATTGCTCAAAAAGTTAATCATTTATTATTTTACTTGGATTCCTGAAAAATATTTTGCTATTAGTGTTATTTTATATCATGAATATAATAAATAATATAACTTTTATAACCTATTAAAAAACAGATTAAAAATTTCTAATCTAAGTACACTGTCATCTGTATCCAAAATCATATCTAATGATTCTGATGAAATATTATAACAGATTGCAAGCTCCTACATATGCATTTCTTTACTTAATTTTATTCATTATGTATCTATAATATTTTGATATTTTTTCTTGTATACCATTTTACATGCAAAATAGTACAAAAATGGCCACACTTTATTTTGAGTTTTATTTTATTCAACAGTAAATACTTAACTTTGAGTTGACAACAATAAAGTACAAAGCCTGAAATCCAGACCTCCTGACCATGAGCCAAACTAAAGAAAAATAAAATAACAATGATAATAACAAATACCCCCAATAAATCTAGAAATGGTTTATATACTATTCAACAAACAGAAGCAAGTATGCCATAAATGTGATATTTTTTTCTGACTGACTGTTACTAACTCTCCTGCATGTCACATTTAACCTTTCAGCATGCGCATATGCGCAAAATTTACGTCAAATTCAGTTTTTAATGCACATTTTTCGCAGATCCAAGCTCAGATGTCTGAAGGTCATTCCTATTCCTCCTCTCTACCCTTCCCCACATCATGGAATGTGCCAACAGTCATTTAGGTTTTTTTTTAAGCAGCTGGGCTTTTATGCCTGTTTATTTCTCAAATTATAGACACAATAACTAAATGTTTCAAACATGAAAAAATTTCTAATCCCTATTTTGAAGATTACAACAAATAAAAGATATTTTATTGAAATCTGACTACGTTTAATTATGAACATACTTGTGTGAATTTATTTAATTCTATAAGTGATCTGTTGCATCCATATTTAAATAATAAAACAATAGAAAACAATTTAAAAGCATAAAAGCACAGGTAGAATTCTGGCTCGTGTGAACATATGCACCACCTCAGATTTGACAGCAAATGTGTTAAACTGAGGGCCTAAAATTTGGAACTACTACTGAATTCTTGATGATTACTGATCTCAGACTTTGTAATGTAAATATTTTTATTTAAGGAAAGGCAAATAATTAAATGATATTTCACTTTTTAATTTAATCATATTTTTAATGCTTTTAAAAATTTTTAATGGTAAAATAATATTTGAGATCTTGGACAGTAATCTAATATTTTCAGATTGCAAGTAGTAGTAATGTGATTTATTTTCAAATCCTGGTGAATGGGTAGGCGAGATGGGAATTTTCATAGTCTAACATATGCAATATAAATATAAGCCAGTTGCCCTCAGAAGGAACTCCTTCCTTCGAGAAGACAAACCCTGAATGCTTTGCCATAAAAGATTTAATCAAGCAAATGAAAACAAGAATTGAATGCATTTCTTTAATAAAAATAATTTGAAATCGTTAAAAATATTATTTCCCCATTAGTTAAATTATGTTCTTTCTTTGAATAGAAATCTCGACCATAACTCTGAATATATCAAGAAAAATCTACAATAACTGTATAATTAATCATATCTCGAGAAAATCAAAATATTATATTAAGAAACTGAAAACATAGCAGGACTTACAATACTCTTGTCAAAGTCAAATTCATAAATATATAATCCTGACACATCATCATTAACAGTGATGGCTAAATATATACTGGGCGTATTTTGATCCTTTAAAAAGGTAACATCAAGGGCTGTGGGATTATGAGAGAAGAATTTCTGGTGAAATGACCAGCTATCACTCCCAGATTCATACCGATACAAATAAATTTTTTCTTCATTGCCTGCAAAAATAAAATTGTTAGAAACATATTTTATACATATAATATTTATAGGCTTTGTAAATGTTTTAAATATTGTACAGCAGATACAAGAACAGTGTGTCAACTAGAAGTTTATTAAATTTTTTTCTAAGGAAAAAAAGTAATTTATTAATAAAAAGATTCATTTCAAGACAAAAGCAGCCTTTTCAATAAAAGTAACTTTATGCATCTTCATGCACGTGCTTTCATGTTTTTACCACAAATATCAGTATGGATATCGGTCTGACACATATAGTTCTCTAACTTATATATTGTTCTCACTGTTTTATTTAACAAAGAACATCAATCGTAAAAGGTAGTGATATTTAAAATTAATTTTGAAAATTTTCTTTACTTTGTTACTTTGTTTACTTTGTTAACTTACCAGAGAAGCCCATAATATTTACAATTTATTTAGTCTAAAAGTACAAACTGAATCTTACAAATTAAATCAAAGACCAGTAGTAATGACATTAGTGGTTGATTCATAGCCACCATAATCCAACTCACCATAATCCAAACAGGTGCATGAAATATGAAAAACCCAGTAGAAATTATAAATGTAAATTACAGAAGACTGGCAACATGAATAGCAGTTACAATGTTGCCAACTAGAAAAGCTGCACTAAGTATTCAACACATATGACATGAAACAAGTTATTACTTCAAAAAGAGGACTATCTTGCCTAATATAAGGCAAAAAAAAATTTTTTTAAACCCCAGAGAAACACAAGACAAAAGTGTCTAATAGGCAACATGTAACAGTGCACAAATAAATTTAAACTAAATTTTAACAAACTACAACACAATCTACATCTGTTCTAGAATTACTATTGTTACTAATCACAAAAAGACATATCAGCAATCATAAGAAGGTTACAAACAAGTGTTTTGCAAAATTTTTATCCACGCTGTACCTGAATATTTCTAGGAAATGATTTTTTGACAAAACTGGTCCCCAAACTTTTCTATGTTTACTGCTTTCAGCAATACACAAAATCTTAAAAAAATTTATTAGTTTTTATTTGTTGTAGATCTGCAGCACCCTACATATAAAGATTAAATGTACAGCCTGCATTTGGTTGTGTAATGAAAATTTTAATTATGAATTTTGTTGTTTTACATTTTCCAATTAGCAGTAAAAGCATTTAGTATTATAAATTCTGCCCCAATTGATTCAAATTTTCATATACCACCTAAATTCTTTAGAACGTGAATAAAGATAACTTCAGAAAAGTGCAAATACAAATAATGACTAAGTGTTCTCTATAAAAATAAATAGTTATGCCAGTTGTTTTTGGTCAAATGTCTGTGAACCTGCATATGCTCTCATAATCGCAGAAGTTCCACATGAGACAAAATAACTTAATAGCTGCAAAGTAGCATGAAATTCATAAACTGTGCTTTCATTTAAATACTGTTTTACTATATTAAATATCTATTTCAAAGTAGTTCTGCATTCCATATGTCAGAGAAAAAAATTTATCTAAGGAGAAATATATGTATGGAATTTTAATGTACTTTCTATAAACAGATTAAAGAAAAGATACTAGTATTTTGGAAACATTAATTTTATAGAAAAGACTATACGTTTTTAATTAGTCTGATATTGAAATGTTTTCAATTACTTCAATTTTTATAATAGATATTTAGATTTTATGGCCAGGAATGGTTACAAAAACGATTCAGCGTTATTTGATCAAGAATTCCAGAGATAAAATACTTCTTTCTGTTCTCCGATACCGGAAAGGTAATGAGACAATGAAATGAGGGAAAAAATTAACCATTTTAGATGAATCTGAAGTATTAAAAATCCTTAATAGGAGTGTTCATGATTTTCTGAATATTAACACAATGTGATCAATGAAATTTAGTGAGACATTTGAAGGTGTTGAAAAGATTCAACCAAGTCACAAGATGATGACAATGATTTAGAACTTAAAATCATTGCAAATAAATGAAAATATCAAACACATTTCTCATTTTAAATGCTATATGATTCAAAGAATGTTTTTTCCTGATGAATATACTACAATCAAGTTATTTTAAATGCATGTAAATGTTAAATAATTTCATTGAAATACCCTGCTGTATGTAAAAAATTACGCTATTATTTGCTTACTGGGACTGTAAGACAGCAAACAAATTCATAACAAAGATGAAAACTAATATTTCTTCACTAAATTAGCTAATTTTAACAAATGCATTATTTTTCAACAGAAAATTTATTATTTGAATTTTCAATAATTATTAAAAAAAGACTGTTTCACAAAATTTACAATATATAATAACACAGTTAATAAAAATGCATAAAATTATTCTACTTTAAAAATTTTGTTATATGCATTTTCAATACTAAAAGGTGGCATAGAGTTGGAATTAGTTCTGCTAGGTTTTAAGGTAGTTTAAGGGGATATCCAGTAAAAGCAACAAGAGCTGTGGCATACAAAAAAAACTGGATGCTCCATGATGACAAGGCATTCAGTTACCATTCTCTCCTCACGAGATTTTTCTCAAAAGACAAAACATTATCTGATACCCACATATGCTCTACTTGCAAGATTAAGCTACTGTGGACTTCAAATTCTACCTGTGGTTCAAAATCTAGCTTAAAGGATGCCATTTTGATGGTAGAAATCACGAAAAATACTTTTCCTGTACCGAGAAGGACATCCAGGACACATTACACAAGTGGCAAGAACACTGGGAACACTATATTTCTATGCAGAGTAGACTACTTCGAAGCTGACAGTGTATATACATGGATAAATAGAGTAGTTTCTCATCAATGGAGCTAATCTTGGAAGTTTTTGATACTTCCTCATATTATGCCACCAAATAGCTTTTGAATTACAATGAGAACAGAAATTTCAATAGAAGCATTTAAGTTCATAAAAATATTGAATTTTATATGAATATCTAATGGAAGATTAGTTTTAGTGCTGGAATACAATTTCGAGACAAACTTTCTGCTATCTTGCTGCAATGTGTGTTGATGCTGTCAAAACAGCTCTCTGTTCTTCTTCAACTACAGTCATGGGTCTTCCATTTCACAGGATAAAAGTTTTAAAAAAAACTATCTCAAATTTTTCTTTAATCCTAAAACAATTATCATCTACTACCAAAAATATACAACTTTTAATTTAAAAATTATAAATTTTACAAAATAAGAAATCAAAATTGAAAATTTTGCATTTATTAGGTGGAGTGAGAGTGATAAAAATCGCCGTTTTTCAAACCAGTTGTATTCAAATAAAGTGCAAGGATATGGAAAAAAAAAAAAAAAAAAAACAACAGACACAGAAGCTAGCATAGTAGTCTTAATATTCTCTGCCTCGAATTTTTGTTTTCTACCTGCAATGAAAATGTAAGAAATAAGAGAAATCTCTTCCCTTCACATTATTCACAAGACTATGAAGGTTCTGAAAGCTACTTTCTTGAAGTTTCTGCAATAAAATGTTACTGCTTTAAGACTTGCATACAACTGAAGCGAGTATCTTGATTCACAATTGTGAGAAGTCAGCTGTAAAAATGATGGCAGCCATTAATCAGCTCTTTAAAAAAAAAAGCTTTGAAAAATTATTATGGTTATTTTAGAGAAGCTTTCCATTAATAAGTTTGACTTCAAAGCTTATGTAGAAAAGCTCACAACTACACATGGACAAAATAATTTGCAAATATGCTTTAAGATTCATTTATTGAGCCCAATAGCAGATGGAGAGTTTGTTTAAACACTTCTGTGATGCTCTCATCAGCATCATTCTGTGATAAATAAAGTAGTTTCTCGTCAATGGAGCTAATCTTGGAAGTTTTTGATACCTCCTCCTATTATGCCACCAAATAGCTTTTGAATTACAATGAGAACAGAAATTTCAATAGAAGGATTTAAGTTCATAAAAATATTGAATTTTATATGAATATCTAATGGAAGATTAGTTTTAGTGCTGGAATACAATTTCAACTTCATCTTTCTTATTTATCAAAACACGTCCTGTCTTATACCTAAATCATGTGACTAATTCTAGATGATGTAAGTGAATATATAGTTTGACCCTTCTAAATTCTGAATCAGTTTTTAATTTTTGGTCAGAATTTATAAATGAAGTCTATTTAATTCCATACGAGTACAATTTCATTATCAAAATATCTCATTCTTTGAGAAAATCAACATTATGCTGTATATAGTCATCTAAATAAGAAAAATTTACAAAAAATTAACACTATTTCTCATTTAATTGATAATACCAGTAAATTTTTCATTTATTCACATCTGTTTTGTAAATATAAACTACATATCCCTGTCCATTACTATTATCTCATACCTCGTGAGCTCAAGGAGTTGATATAAAGATTCTAAAGCTGTGTCCTTGTTAATATAGTAAAGTTATAGTGTTTTATCAGACAATGAGAACATGCTAAATATTGTATCAGCAGTTGCTCTTGTAGTTCTTATACAGATGATATATTTGTAATGACCTTTCTGACAAACTGTTATCTACTGGACGAATTTCTAACCAAAAAATTCTCATAAACAAAACTTTAAAAAATGCATAATTTTTATGCATTTCTGTACTAAATGCATTTCTATACATTACAAAATTTTCAGAAATACAATTACTTTTAAATATTTACTAATTTTTAGACTGCCTTGTATATTCTTAAATTCAAAATAACAGAAATCAAGATTACAAATTTGTAAGCACTGAACAAAATAATGAAATTCTATTTACCTTCAAAGTTAAAAGCAATTAGGATAAGTATTTCATCGATACTTTCTAATAATTTAGCATCTAAAACTGTTGCATTTATAGGAGACAACAGCTTGTTAAAATTTATTTCTCCGTTTAAAAATAATGTTTTTATTATAGTTGAGTTTAATTTCTTTTTCACACATCTGAAAAAAGAAAAAAGGTGAAAGCAAGAAAGCAATATACTACTTTTCAAACTTAAGTGCTTTAAAGTACTTAAAACACTGTTACTTGTCAAATTTTAATATATCTAGTAGGTAATATATTTAAATATATGAAAATAACCTCATTTTGACCACAACATTGTATTCTTGTTTCAGCTATTCTGTTTTAAAAAACTTTAAACATTTATTGCAGTGAAATAAGTTAAAATTTACACAATTTCCCATGGATAAGCATTTTTTCCAGTTATATTCAGGAAAATAATAAATGGCTTCAAGAAAAATATTTGTTAAATTCAATGCTATTTGTTAAAATGAATTCTATTTATTGTATACTATTTCGGTATAATATTCATGTTACTGTGAACAATTACTGACAAACCATGTTGTCACCTTTAATTTTGAAATTATAGTAAAACAATTTGAGATTTATAAAGCCATAAAAGACAATTTTGTACATATTTTATTCAGTCTATAAAGAATAAACTTAAAATGCCCATAACATGGTCAAATTTATATTTATTGTAATAATTTACAATGCTTTTATATTGCTTCATTGTGCTAATACTGAAAATAAAAAATTACATTAGTGCTAAAAATCTATTTTAAATTATATTTATCATACAGTATTAATACTTTTAAATCAAAACACAAATAATATTTTAAAACATCTGTTTAATAACTTGCATAGTTAATGAACTTTTTCTATACCCCTGGGTTCATACCAAATAAATATAAATTTAAATTTATTTACAAATGAAATAAATGCATATCAAAAATCAAAATCAAATAACCCTATCAAATAAATTTGTATCAAAAATCAATTTATATAAAAGTGTCAAATTTATTTACAAATGTCTGGCTCTTGGCCACTTAAACCAATAGCAATAAAAACAAATACTCGCAAAATAATCAAGTGAATAATAAATAACAGCGGTGTATGTAAAAGAATAAATTAATATAGTAATACAGATCCTTATACACTTCTTGAAGATAATTTTTTAAATAAAAGATTTTCAGTAAAATATTTAGTCATTTTTAATAAAAATAACAGTAATAATAAGTCTAATATCAACTTAATGGGTAAAAAGATACATATTCCAATCTATTACTGCAACTTTTGAATTTATCATTTAATTTATTAAATATAATATTGAAACTCCGGCAATCCACCAGTTTCAGGAATTTGATTTAATATAAAGCAAAAGAGTACCCTGCTTGCCAGAAAATTTAAGATTTACACTCACCGATGAGTTCTATCAACATGCAGACTAAATCCAATTGCTTTCTCATTCAACATTTGTAAAGAAAAAGGATAAACTCTTTCATTTATTCTTTTAGTTTCATATAAAGTACCATTCTCATGAATATCCATAATAAGGGATCTTATGGCACTGCAGTTTTTATTCTTTTGTACCCAAATTATTATTTGCACTGTAAACTGTTCATAGGCATTCCTTTGGGAGGAAAAAAAAGGTGAATTAATTTCAGAGGGAAATTTTAAGTACCCATCACTTTATATCTGAATAAAGATATTATTTTGTACTAATCTTAAATATCTGTGCTTATAAAATGGTACATATCCTTAAGAGATAATATCCTTAAATGATTGTTACGATACCACCAATACTGGAAAACATCAATATATCAAAATAAAAAGAAAAGGTTTTTAATTTGAAATCAAAACAAAAACTACTTTTTTTTTTTAAATTTTAAAAAGCATTAACGAACAAATTTGACGTTTTCATTTAAAATTTATACCTCAACACACAGGTGTGTGTGTATTTAATTATGGCAAAGCACACTAGTGCTATCTGCCTAAGGGGAGGGATGCCTTTCGTGGAGGACTTTCTAAGGGAAACTGGCTCGTATACACGTTACACATGGGGAAAACCACGAAAATGCCCATGCAGCCAGCCTGTTCATGAGATTCGAACCTCGGACCGAACTACCAGTGTTCAGTGACTTTACCGCTCAGCCGCTGGTGGGCCCCTCAACACACAGGAAAATGCTTTTAAATTTTATATAAAATATATTTTTCATACAAGTTTTTAGAAAATTCAGTCCCCTATATAAATTAAAAATACATTTTTTCTATATTACCTTTTATCCTCCAACTTGATAAAATCAGAATCCTAAACAGACATACGGACAGACATCATTTCTACAGGAAAATTCCAGAATTCATCTATTTCTCATTTTTTAGTTGAAGCTTAGCTTGGACATAAATGTATTTAAAAATTATATTTGTACTGTTTATAGATACAGAATAAAATTTACATATTTATTTCATTTTCTTATTAAATAAACTTATTAGATAAATAATAAAGCTTAGATTTTGCTTTAACTTTTGCATCTTTTAGAACTATGTAAACTTGCACAAATTTGGAATAATATGCAATAATTTCTTTATTGTGCTCAACTGTGCAAAAATAAGCAGTAGATATGAAACAAAGTTTTTGTTAATGTTTTACATTTCTCGAATCCTTATTGAAATTATTCCCCTTTAAATCACCTTACTTCTTGGAACATGTTTTAAATAATCAATTATATTTTTCAAAGAGAAAGGGAAAATATTTTTTCTCATTATTTATATGCATTGAATAATCATATATTTGGAAATATTTAATTTACTTTTGAAATAAGAGACTTACATATATCCTTCCTCATTTATAAGAAAATAATTTTCACTTTAATCTATTTCCAGACTGATTAAGATCTAAAAATTGGACATTACAGATGAATGTAATTTTTCATATCAGACATGCGATTTGTTACCAGTGATGTCTTACCCAATTCTTCCAGGTGTAAATACTGATAAGAACCTTTCTGTTTGTCCAAGATGTAACAGTTGATGAAGTTCAAAAAAGACAAAAATTGGTGATATATCTATTTAGGAATAGAATATTTTAAAAATATGAGAAACTTGCAGATGTAAATTGAAGTATATGTAAAAGTAAATTTCTTCAAATATTAAATAACTTATCTGGAAGTAAAACTACAAAGATATTTTGCTTGTATTTCTATACAAATTTAAGATACTATATTCAGTACATTTAAAGAAAAATAAATGCAGTTTCTTTAGTTTTTACTTTAAAACTGAAGTCTTTCATTACAAGGGAATAGAAAGACAACTCGGTCATCAAAATTACATTGCATATTCCTCTTTTTATTTTTTCAGTGTTTAGTGATTTGCATGCCCTTAAAATATCAATACTTGGGAATTTCTAATAAAAATAAGTTTTCTTTTTATAACATTACTTGAAATAATCCAGATGCGTTTTAAGCTTAAAAATTTCTTTCGCAGAAGAAATCAAATTATTTTGACAAAATTTAATATTCATATTTATTAATACAGAACAAATAATTGCATTAAAATAATTAAATCATTTCATTACTACATTTATAAGGAGTTTTTTCCCTCTTTTCTGCAAGCCTTCGTGGTGTAACGGTAGCACACTCAGTGCATATTCGAGAAGCCCAGGTTCGAGTTCCGGTGAGGGCCTTGCACATTTCTCTCTTCTCCTGCTTCAAAAATAACCTAATAAATCTTCAGTGGTACCTAAACTAAAAGGCGGTGGTTGATGATTCTTCACCACCAGCATTTGAAGACTGGGTCCCCTACTCAACAGTCAGCCTTTAAAAAAGGGAGTATATATAAGGTACCAGAAGTGGGTGCAGCCCAATCTACCTAACCAAACAAGTTGGTCTTATAGTCATAACAGGCCATGCCCGGTATTTTCTCCCTCCTTTCTGCATGCTTTCCTGGTGTAATAGTAGAACACTATCCATATTCAATAGATCCAGATTGGAGTCCTGGGGAATTTCTCATTTTTCATGTCTTCTGCTTCAAAATAACCTTATGTCTCTACACACTATAGAATAAATTTCAGGTATGGCCTTCGTCATTGATAAATAGGCACATATATGTGCTGATCTTCCATGGGTTTTGAAGAAAATTAAAGCTGGTTCAGTTTATACACAACTCTCATATCGACAACAGAAAATATTCAGGATTTTTCCCATAAAAAGAAAAGAAAGTAAAAAGAATACAATGAATTTGTCAGTTATTATGAAATATAAAATATTTAGATCCTATTATTTAAAATTAAGATGAACATTTTGAATTTCTCATTTCTCAAAAATGCTAAACCAAAACAGGAAGCTATGTGGATAATATTGTAACAGTGATGATATTGATTACATGCTTGTAGAAGGCAGGTTATGCTGAGACAGTGGTGGGCATAAGAAGTGGTCACCTGTTATTCTGTTCTTACTTTGCTTATACACATCAATAATAATTATAATATTTGTTGTAAAATTTTATTCAGTTTTATAGAGGATTAGTATTCGACACTTTCAACCGATGAATGTTAGACATACAGTTTTCTGCTGCCATTAAAGCCTTAACCTCAAGGATTACTGTGTCCGAAAGGCTTAATAGAGAGTTTGTTGACAGAAGACCTGATATTTTGTGTCCATTTTACTTCACACCCCCAAAAAGAGATATGTGGCATTCTACAGAGAACATAAATCTTTGATCCAATTTCAGTGGCCACATTTCTCCTCATATTCAGCCTAGACACTTACTGTCAGTAGATTCCTTATCTGAAGCTAATCTGGATCCTGATACTGCTCCACCAACATCAGACAAAAGGATTATTATGGTATCAGAGTTGTAGGTTCTAGAATATATTACTAAAGCAGTTATTTTTTAACCAGTAACAATGCTCACCACATGGAGCTCAACTAATGGACAAGTATCTTCAGAGTGAGGATATTAGGTAAACTGCAAGTCAGCCAGCCAGAATTCTAGATCTAATCCCTAATGAGCACATCTGGAATGAACTTAAGAGAACACTGAAAATTTGCTAGCCACTTTCAAGAACCATCTTTTGCTGACATCCTGCAGCCTGTTGTAATAGTGCTTTTGTTAGGCGTGCTGGGGCTATTTTTCAGCACAATAATATCTGTCTGCACACAGCACACTTAGCTTAGATTTTCTCTGCAACATGGCAACTTTTCTGTTATCATCTCAAATGCTCAAATTATCTCTCATTGAACACATTTGGGATATGGTTGACCACTGGCTCCAACCATTGCAAAATCTATTTTGCCAGGTTGTGCAATTAAAATGAATATGGCGAGACTTTTCTCAGGGCAACACTAGACATTCTTAAGTTTCCATGCCTGACAACATTTTTTGCATCCAAACAGGAAGCTAAGTTGGTAATTTCTTTTTCATTTCTATAATACACAATGCTATTAAGATTATTATTCTATTCATGATTTTCACTCACCATTTGCTGCTGTTACTATTAACTATCATGCTACAATAATAATGAAGCCAGAATTCTAATTGATTAATTGCAGAACAAAATCTGTTTCTTCAGATAACAGTAAAGAATCTTTTAAAAGTAAGCATAATAGAATGATTGGAACAATGCCAATTGCATAAAACTTTTTCTAAAGCTTTCTAATTATACAAACATATTTCTCAATAACTTTATGTTTAAATGAACACAAACTTACTTCCAATTTCTCCATCCAAATGCTGTAAGCTTTGCTGGTTAGAATCAAGTTCAAAAATTAAATCATCTAGAACAGCAGGAATATTTTTTTCAAGATCAAGAATATAGTTCCATGAAAATTTTATTGGAACTTCATTTATTATTTGAAAGACCAAATCAGAAACATTTAGGCTGTGAAATTCAACCTGTAAAATATTTTAATATGGTGCATATTAACTTTATACAATCATGATAAAAATAAACTTTTTTTTTTTTTTTTTTCAAAAGCACGAGTTTTCAGCAAATGTCATCAGTTAAATGCTGCATGACAAAATTAAATTCAAGTTAATGCAACAATTTTTTTTTTTGTTTAAGCTTAGACAGTTACACTTAGCTACGATTACCTATAAGCTTAATTAAAAAAAAATATATAAGTTTTAACTACTTAATGACATAATCTAAGTTAATTCATTATATGCACTTTCCCTTATTCTGAGATAATTTGGACTGACTTAACTGTATCAACCTTATTGAACCCATTAATATCTGGGCAAAGATATACAATTATTCTACATAATAAAATGTATTCAAAAATAATTTATGCCTTTATTTAGTGCATGGCAGAATATTTTAGGCTAGAATAATGTTGCAAAATCATCAAACATTTTATGAAACATATTTTCAAGACTGAAAATATTCTCGAAGAAAACATTTCACATGGAGTGTACCATTTTCATTTAGTTTCATCTCTGTTTAAATGAAACAAAAATATGAAATTTTGTAACTGACACCTGATTTATAAATGGTAGAATTGGTAATCTTAAATTGGTATTGATTCTGGAAAAAAAAAAAAAAAAAAAAAAAAAAAAAAAAAAAAACTCTGATTCTGAAGGTGATCAAATATAAGCCTTCAGAACCATGTAACAGGATCATTCTCAAAATTGTTTTGAGTTTTATTCAAAACTTGCATCAGTTTTTCTTTGGGGGGGGGAGGTAATCTAAATTCTGCATTGGTGTGTTTCTCTTCCCCTTTGGTAACAGAACTTGCTTTTAAATTTGAAAATATTCATTATGTAATTGATATCTATTTCAAAAGAGATGTATGTAAATGTACACTAATTATAAAATAAAACTATTCTTTATAAATCTCCCATTAATTAAACAGATTATAAATCATTTACTTTGTCAACCTATAACATATTGGATAAGTTTGAACAAAATACAGATAAATAGAGAAAATTCATGTTATTTGTAGTTAATTACAGTGAAACATTTTAGATTTCTGTCTTAAGAAGAATGCTTTTTCTTTTCCTAATAAATGGATACTTGCTTGTTAAGTACTGGTCAGAAATGGCTGAAGCCATCAGTAATTTAGTCATGTCATTATTAAGAATGTTGCACAAGGTGCAACACATTTATCAAGGAGGGAAGCACCACTTTATAGGTCACTCGAGGGTGGGAGAGACACGCTAAAAAAAGAGGGTGGTAAAGAAGACCGTAACCTCAGAAATTAAATAAAATTACAAATATCCAAGTATTCTCCAGGACTTGGATCCAGTATGACATGCAACACTGCAAACCAGTATATCATACAGGACAGCAAAAATGAATGCTTGGTACTCTTCTGTCATCAGGACCGGATTCAGAAATATATGGATGTATATATGCATATATGAATGCATGCATACAAGCATACATTTCTGAATGTGGTCTCGATAACAGAAGAGTACTGAATGCTTTTTTAACATTCAGAAACAAATAAAATGTTAAAAAGTGAGAAATTAGATAAAAATAAAGGTATTATTTTATTCATGTTTTTTTATAGCATCAAAATGCACAGAGGAATTGGATTCAAGTTAAAAAGTATCGACTTGATTTGAAGCATGTAACAATCCATCTTCATCTTTGATTCTTACTAAATAAAATTTACTTCACAAGTTTTACTTGATAAAATCATTTAATATCATTATTAGATACACAAAATAGTAAAACTGATAAAATGCAAAATATGTAACATTTTTTAGTAGGCAATAAAATAAGAAATGCATTAAAAGCTAAATGCATACATTTTGAGAACTGTATTACACAAGCAAAATTAAGCTTCAAATAAAATATTTTATTAATTCCACACAATTATTAAAAATCAAATTTGAAGTTTTATATAACTTTCAAATATATAACAGGCCATTTACACTAATATCTTTTAATACAAAATTTAAAAAAATTAAAATTAAAAAAAAGTTAAATGCTTTGTTTTTCAGTTGAAATTTAAGTACTAGTAATTCCTATTTACTATCCTAATGAATATTAAAATTTCTCTACCATTAAGAAATATACAACAAATCTGAAATTTTACGAAAATTTCAAACATGGTAGGATATACAAAATGATTAGAATTCCATAACATGCACACATTGCAGGCAAGAATAATGACCCTTTTAAGGCAATACATGAAGACAGAAATACCGATTTTACATTCTGAAATCGTGTTTACTCATTTTGTATCCGAGATTATGCTATGCCTCATGCAAGGAGAAACTCCATGTCTCAGAATCCAGTTGCAAGAGAACTGTAGCCTACCGGGATTGCAGACTATCATATCATGCAACTGCTGCTTCCAATCATCAAGATCCAATAACTGTTGTGAGAATTTGAAAACTGCAAATCCAAGAAGGCCCTACAGAACAATGTGTAGGAGATTGCTACAACTCCCACTCACATATGACTGCCATGATAGACATCCTGCCCACATCCCCTTTAGCTATTATATAGCCACATACATCCAGCTTATGAAATTGGGTATATTGTACAGCACCAAATATCTGCATGTGTACCTGCAGTACCACGGATTATCAGCAAAGCAACTAATGTTTTGGCTTTAATTGATACTACAGTACTGGGAATCAGTGCCTACAATGGTATTCAATAATGCACATAGACACATCAATGACAAAACATCTTTTCTGATAAATTTAACTTTTTGTTACAACATCAGGATGAGAGTATTTGCCTGTAGAAATTCCAGTGAGTGACTGATGAAATCTTGTAAACTTCATCATCTTACCAGCTCAAACCTAGACATAACTGAAGGCAACCTTTGAGGCTTCCATCACCTTATTTTCAATAGGATATTATTGAGGCTGCATGCTACCTGCCCTAAATTTCCTCAATATAAAGTGTATTTGAGCGATGCCTTTTCTATATCTCTCATCAAACGAGAATGCCGGGTTAATGGTTGCAGATAGATTGGCATAATAATATCTACCAGCCATTATGACAAAGACCGAAGCTGCATGCTCTGCAATATCAATAAACATCAACAAAAGTCTGTTCTATGTCCATTTGTATAAGCTACTATTATTGCCAGAGGCAGATACATGACCTGTTGATTCTGTTATGTTCTGTATGTCAAAATTCTTGAAATTTTAATCATTTCTTCCTTTAGTTGTAATATATTTATGAAACAGGTGATTTTGTTAACTTTTTTCTTTCACTGTACAATAATTTTATAGTCAGAGGGATAAATGAAATATTCAGTTTCAGTATAAATACAAATTCTATGAAAATGATATGCAAGATACCAAAAAAAGTCAGTGCTTTATAATAAATAAAGTACCTTGTAAAATTAACTATTAATTATATTATTAATAATCTTAAATCTGACAGAATTAAAAGTTAAAGAATTTATGTAAGAGCATGCAAGATGTTTACTGAGAGAGCACTAGTTTGGTTAGATTGTGGCAAAGCACTCACGGACCATCTGCCTAAGGGGAGGACTAAGCCTTTGTGAAGGATTTTTTTTTAACAGAAACTGGCATGTATCCACATTATAGATGAAGAAAGCTTCCAAAATGTCCATTTGCCTGAAATCAAACCTGAGTCAAATTACCAGTGCTCAATAACTCTACTGCTCAGCTGCTGGTGTGGTATTGAAAGATCACTCACTATGAATATGAATGATGAAATCTTGTAATCATCATAATATAAGCCCAAATTTGATTAATAGTATGAAGTGCCACTGAATACACATACTGTTTACCTCTAACCCATATATATATAGTTGCCACTGTAGTTTCTGATGTAGGTACAGTCAAAAGTCGTTAATCCAGACTCGTCGGGACTTCGATTCCGGATTATAGATCATCAGTTTAAATCTGGTAAAATGGCATGCAGAAATTACAAAATTAAAAATATGAAACCGTAATTTATGAAATAAAGAACAATTATGATCTAAAGGGTATCAAAATTTACAAAAAGAGAAAGCTTAATATTTATATGTTTACTTTGTTAAACATTTCTTTCAATGTATGTTGCTTCGTTTCATGTGATAATACTTTCTCTTTAATTCTATTAAACAGACATAATTTCTTGTTTAGTTACAAAGTTCCGCTGTTCAAGCCCTATAATTGCTGCGTTGAGAATACCAACTAATTTGTCAATCGAAATGTTTTCGTTTCTAATAACCTCTGGGTCACTTTCTTCACTATCGGAAGCAAATTATAATGATGAAGAACTTGATTTAAATCATATCAAAGACGGAGTACAATGAGATGAAAAAGTACACTTAGTAAGGAATTATAAGCCAAATAAAATAAAAACATCTGCCCTGAAGATAAGGATAGTGCTGACAGATCAACTTCCGATCCACGGCGTGAAATTGATAAACAGATTTCGATTTCAAAACATACTTTCCCTTTGTAGATACAAATTATATATTAGTAAATATATATCGGAAATTCTATTTGACATAATTGAAAGTTCAAGCTTACTTTTATGAAATTGCTCTAACAGTGTGCAAAAAATAATAAGCCGGATCCAATTCGAAGATTAAGGAACAACGCAATCTGCAACATTAACTGAATTAGATAATTTTAGCTTAGCTTATACCTCCGTTACACATTAAAAGCGCATGCGCACAAACATATTCGCAGCCGTAAAGGTCTTACGTGCACTCTTAAACGCATGTGCGTTTAAGAGTGAACGCGACGCATGCGCAGAAAGTTTGTAGCTTTGAGGTCCAGATTATAGATCATTCCGGATTATGGGTGTCCGAATTAACGACTTTTGACTGTAATATAAAACAATGTTATTAATTTATATAAACAATTGTCTAATGATGCCCCAAATAAAAGGATTTACTTCCTACATAGTGATATTAGTTCAAGAACTGCATAATTCATACGCCACAAGTATTTTGGGAAACAAAAGTATATTATTCCTGTTAATTTTTTATGCAAATATCCCATTTTCATAAAACGTATCTATATAAATATTTTATTATAGTACATCTAAATTAAACACTAGCATTCAACAAATTGTTTTTTTTAATCCATAACATATTTAAGAGAATATTTTATTACTACAGCATAAAAATATGAAATCACTTGTATTTTATTTCCTTATTACAACTTAAATTTTAAATAATCATTATGATTACAAAACATTTCAATTTTCTAATTAATGAATACCTTGAAATGCAAATCAAATATGTAGTATTTTAATTTAAACTATTCTGAAAGGTTTCTTAATTGTATTATATAAATTAAAAATTAAATACATTAATTTTAAAGCTTTGATTTCAAATATGCTGATTACTTAGAATTAAAATAAGCAAAACGAACAAGTTATATATGAATTTTTCAATATCTGAGATGACATTTCAAGTAATAATATAAAAATAAATGAATATAACTATGTAGAACATAATTCTAGTCTTCACAGAAAACCTTTCCTTAAAACCTAATGTTAAAAACTTTCATGTCCCCATTTAATATTGAGTAAAATAATGAACATTAATAAAATGTCAGAATTTGATAATATCATATAATAAAATTTTTTATGGAAAAAACTATGAATTATAAACTGTTACATATAAAACCTCTTCTCTCGTAAAAGGTCCAAATAATATTCACGAAATTTCTACATCAAATCAGGAGCAAAATTCAAGAGACGAATTACATTTTAAAATTTTAATTTTAATTCAAATTCCTCTTGAACAAATAAATACTTACTGAATCATTTATTCTTTCTTCAGAACAGATTTTTAACAAATTTGCAACAAGAAGTTCCAGATTTGTTTCATTGATAGCAATGATTACATTTAAGTTTGAATCCAGAAATAATTCATTTCGAAATATTTTTGAACCATTGATACTAGACTTTCCATAAGCAATTTCAGTAAAATTTACAGAATTTAAATTTCCCTTTATATGTGTTTGACCTGAAAAAAAAAAAAAAAAAAAAAAAAAAAAATTAAAGTTTAAAATAAATCTTGGAATCTTCAATTCATATTAAATTGCAGACTACAAGGATAAAGTTAAATATTAAGAGAACAAAATTTTCCAGTATGCTTAATTAAAGCACAGTTAACTTTATTTAATACTTTCTTTTAATTTTTCAAAAGAAAATTTCATGTAATCAATGAAGTCATTAAATGAATTAAAAAAATAAGAATTTAAAGCAGGTTTGTATCCAACAAATGCCTATCTATATAAGTAGATCCAAAAGGTTCTGGCTGATATACTTTTAAAGGAAAGAATATTTTAATAGTTTTTTTTTTCAAATATTACATCCATATACTTCTATATGCTTTTCATATCCTTTAATGAGCTACTTCGTGCCCCTGTATAAGCAATCTAAAGATTCATCCCCAAAATGTTCCATGCAAGCTCTTTTCATGCTAATATCGTCATCTTTCCTCAAGATTTCAATTTGGAGAATTGAAATCTTGAGATACTTTTTCAAGATTTCAATTTGGAAAATTTATAAATATCACTTGGTGTTAAAGTTGGGTTGTAAGGGGATTGGTCAAGCTCCTTAAAGCCAAACTCCTGTTTCGAAAAGAAGTAGGGGCAACTATATTACAGAGAATTTGTTAATGTGAAGATGTTTGTGTGGAATGTATTAAATAGTTTTAGACGGAGCCAATTTTACTACTGCTTGACTTCTACCATTCAATATTTTTTGGACATAAGCAACATTTCCTAATGCAGTGCCTCCAATAGTCCATGCAGAACTGTTTTACTCATTCTTTCGTTGCAGAAAACAAAGGAAATGAAGGGCATACACATGATGAAAGCATTTTAAAAATTTCTTTGGAATTAAGTCGTTCAATCAAAAATTTAATTACAGACTGATACTCAGTTTTAGACATTTCAGAACAAAATGACAGTAGATTACTGTATAAGTTTAGTGGAAATTTAGCATTTCACTGGAAATATCTGAAAATATAAAACTAATCAAAAGTTAATTTGTTAAAAATTTTATAAGAGCTATTTTAACTTTTAAAGCTATTTTATAGTGTTTGTGCAAGAAGAGTGATATTAAATTAGGTAACAAAGAAATTAAGTAGTTTTAAAGAAATTTTAAACAAGCAGTTATATATATAAAAAGAAAAATTATTAAATTCAAATATAACCAAACAAAAATAAAGTTAGTTTACACAGCTTTAAATAACATGACTAATATAAATAAATAACATTTTGAAAATAACATGACTTGCATAATAAAATATGACAAACATAACTTTAAATAACATGACTAACATAATAAATAACATAACATTTTGAAAAATTTTGTAAATAAATTTACAAATCTCTGATCATACTAAGAATACAAAAATGTAAAGTTACCTTCTACTATTAAGCTTTGTTCAAAAATAACAGTTGAAAACAATTCCTCAGTAAGACTTAATGAAACTCTTTGTGCTAGAAAATTTATAAGGGAAATGCCATTTATATCACCCAAAACAGTAAGAGAAGACATATTTGATATATTAAAATAAACAGGAGACAACACAGAATCATCAGTATATGTCAACACCACATCATTGAGTAACTGCACTGAATTCAGAAGCCCTGAAAATATAATGGGTATATTTAGGGAAGAGTCATTAAATTTACGTGACACATATTATTACCTACTAGTAAATAACAGATAAAATAATTGCATCATTTTAATCTGATACAGCACAAAAACTTAAAACCAGATCAGTAGTAAATGCAAATAATTACCAAATAGAAATATTTACAGATTTTATTACTTTTAATATCTATTTTCTTTTCTCCTAATGAGTTACAAAGATTAAATTTTCAGTTTTTCTAATTAATAATATAGATTTTTAAAAGCAGTTACAAATTACAGTCATTTAACCTGAAGCTACAAATTCATTTAACCTGACATTTTCTGATGACTTAAAATCTAAATATATGGATAAATATTTGAAAAGAATATCTGCATTTGTATTTGAGAAAATATAATAAACAGAATTTGCAGTTTGTAATATAGACAAAAGCTTTTTAATGTTAATTTTGAAAACAATTATTTTGACTTGCACCTCAGTTTGAGCAATTTAGATAATTATTTGGTTATCTGCATATTATGAGGCCATACATATAAAATTTCATCTTCTGTAAAGCTGTGACAAAACATATTTATGAAATGCTATCTCATAACATTTATTATTTGAAGTGTAGGTCACAAGAACAAAACTATTATTAAAGATTAAATACGTAAATATCACCTTTAACTGTAACATTTCTGGCAACAATTTTTGGCATTCTTGATAAAAAGAATTTCTGCTTGCTTGTTTTCATTACAGATGTTTTAAAGAATGGATGAACCTTTATTTCACAAAGTGTACTACTAACTTTCAAATTTCTGATGGATAATGTATTTGAATGAAGTTTGTGAAATATTTTCAGTCCTGTTATATTCTATAAAGAGAAAAATACTGCTATTATAGTACATTATATAAAAATATATAATAATTTACTTTTCAGCGAATGATTAAAAGATATTGGATGCATAGAAATGTTTAATTTGAATTATATCTAAAAAGGACTATCCAATTTTATGCGATAATTAAAATTTCAGAGAAAAATATGGTGGTCAACAGCTAATATATTAAACCCAAGTTCTTGAAAGCAGTCTGTCTTTAAAGGAATACTTTAAAGGAAGAACTTTCTATTTGAGATACTTTAATAACAAGGACATACTGAAGTTATGTATACCGAAAATTAAAAGGTATCCTTGCTGCCAAATCAAGTAATAATAAAAAAAGATTGTCTTATGCTGAAAGGCTCAATTAAAGCATGACTATTCATGACACCAATATCAAAACTGCATGAAAGTTCTTTAATGAGGTTGGTGATACAAGAAAAGACTAAAAAATGCAGTACAAAGTCCGAAATCCAGATGTCCAATATCCAGAATAATCTATTATCTGGACTACCAAACCATTAGCAACATTTTTTTTTTCTCCTACAAAATGTAGGATTCCAGAAAAAACAGGGTGTGCCTTGAAATCAATATTTCTACCAATTACCTGATATCTGATGTCATTTTCAAACACCTGCTGGTTAAATTACAGCGTGGTCAACAACAATGCTTTGACTGATATGTTTGCCATGATCCCACTTTTAGACTTTAGCATTTTTCTATCTGATCGAAACAATAAGTAAAGCATCAAGATATATTTATTTAGAATAGGATGTTGATCTTTGCTTATACTGGTTTTTTTGGGGGGGTAGGCATGGTAGCAGGAAAGGATTAGATTCCAAGAACGATGGTTAGTCACATATATACGAATATGGCAAAGTCACAGGAACTCTTTACCTAAGAGTAAGGTTTGGTTTATGAAATTGCAGCAAAGCCTCAAAGGTTATTGCCTAAGGGGAAGGATGCCTTCGTGGAGAACGTTCTAAAGGTAACTGGCTCGTATATACATTAGAAATGGGGAAAACCACAAAAACGGCCATGCAGCCTGCCGTTCGCGGGATTCAAATCTCAGACCAAACTACCAGTGTTCAGAGACTTTAACCCCTCAGGTTCTGGTGGTCTTCTTAAGAACAGGGATGCCTTTGTGGTTTGGTATATTTGCCTATGGCAAAGCCTTTGAAGGCAATATCCTTTGAAGGCCTTTATGAAGGACATTCCAAGAGAAACTGGCTTGTACACACATTATACATGGGAAAACTACAAAAACACCCATATAGTCAGACTGTTCACTGGTATTCTAATTCTTTATGGAGGACTTTTTAATGGAAGCTGGCTCATATTCACACTGCATATGAGGAAAACCATGGAAACCAACTCTGCAGCTAGCCCATTAACCTAGGTTCAAACCTAAGCCAGATCAAACTACCAGTATTCAGTAGTTTAAATCCCTTGACCCTTAGTGGGGCATAGATTTCGAAGAATCTAAGTTCACTTAACAAAGCAAAATACGCTCTTTCCTTAACTTTCTGATTTGAAGAAATGATTTGAAGTGCATGATTAGAATTAGAGGGAAAATTACTCCTTGACTGCCACATTACACATTGGCACGTGACATTTAAAAATGAATCAAAATAATAACAGTATGCATGTTTTTTTTTGGGGGGGTATGGAACTGTATTAAAAACACATACATTTCAAACGAATTAATCCCAAGTTAGTTACAATGATATTATCAGAAGCTTTTAATTTCAGAATGCTATTGCGTATTATTTTTGCACAATCTAAACAATAGCTGGGAGTTCTTTCATACACTTCACAGATATAGATTGAATCCTTTATGTTTTCCTTGGGAACAGCAATTTTTGCACTGCTTTTAAAGCACTTTTCCACTTCTCTTTTCTTTTTATGGCTTGAGCACACATTCCAGTTCAGATAGATCACAAACAAAGGCATGAAAGTCAGATTGCTGTTTCAAGAAACAATGTATCATTAATAAACAAAAATCAAAGTAATATTTCCTCTGCAATATTTGCTATAATTGGGAAATTCATCATCATTATTTGAAAAATATACAAAAATATTTCGGTAGGCCAATGGTTTTCCTTTCATGTGGATAATAGGCAAGCATTTGATCTTGCTTATCAATGCCTGCCATACATTCATTATATTGAATCACAGGAGTGGCTCTGATTTAAATTTGCTTTTTTTGGGGAGGGGGGGGTTATTTTTTTCTACAATATCATTTTCATATTCATTAGAAATGTAAGTGATGTATCTTTTATCTCCCCATTTAGCAATCATTATATCATCAACATACTTTGCAACAGTTTTCATTTTTTTTCCTCTAACCACTTTTAGAAATGTGTTCTTGTTCTTTCTGATTGTTTCAGTACAATGAATTTTCCTGTCAACAAGTCATTTTGCCAGTTTGTAGAGTCATTAGGTTTTTTTGAAGCAGGAAATGAAAAATGTAATAATTTTAATATAATAAAAATTATAATAATTTTTCATAAGCATGCTGTGTCCTACAGCTAACATTACAGTAAGTAAAATCCCCACAACATTTTTTTTAAAATTTCACTGTTCTGCAAAGTCACTACATTCACAAACATACCTGCCTTGTTCAGATTCCAGTATAGGCTCAGAATGGTAATCATTTGCAGGGCTAGAAGAGCTTACTAAAATCATTTATGGGGCATTTGCCACTAATTATTTTAAGAGCCAGACGTCATGCAATGAAATCAGTCTGTGCTATTATGTATAAAAAGATATGTTACGCATAACATCATTATCAGAGCATGGACAATATGCTACCAATAACAAAAGAAAAAAGTCATAGATAAAAATAAGATTTCTAGAGTTTTGGTTTAAGTCTTAACGAGTACTTCCATGTATATTATACATATGCATGTATATGCAGTAAAGTAACTATTATTATTATGTCAGTTTTATTAAATTAAAAGACAGGTTTTTATTTAAATTAAAAAGACATTTACCTGGAAAATATCTTTCAAAACAGCATCTTCTAACAAAAATCCAATTTCAACACCATTAATCCTATGCAGCAGGAACAATTTTTCAGCATTAATGTTTACAAAATTAATGTTCATATCATATTGACTATTAAGACTCCCAGAAATTTTAACAAATTCATCTTCTGTTATTCCATTCAACACATTTTTCACATGTAAATGACCATCTATTGTCAGACTTTTTAAAGATTTTTTACTTGTTATGAATATCTGGTTATTCTTCAAATAGACAGAGTTATTAAGAATCTGTAACAATATGTGAAAAATGATTAATCAAAAATACATCTAGTTGATAAAAAATAAAATAAACCACATTGAAATAAGTCTCACCTGTAATAAATCACATTCATTAATATAGCCAGATATGTTCACATTTTTTGCATATGTCCTAGTTAACCTCAAATTTCTTAAGGATACATCTTCATTCAAGTAAATAAGGCTTTCAAGTTTCACACCATCAACAGATATGTTTCTTCCTATTTGAACTATAAGAATAAAATACTCCCAAAGTTAAGAAGTACAATTTACAAATTTTGCAAAAATATTAACAATTTCAACCTTTTCAAAAATTCTCATAGTGTAAGTTAGATAAAAAGACAACTAATTTGCAATGGTTTTTATCCCATGTAAGTAAATTTACTGGAAATTGAAATTTTGCATTGGCATTATCTTATCTTAAATATCATTCTGAACATCTCTGAACTTAGTTGCGCTTTCAGTTCCCAGTTTTGGGTCACCTGCCTTTATTCCATCCTTTATATTTATTCCATGATACAGGGATTATTTCAGTTACCTGAAACCTACACATAGCTGGCCATTAAAACAGAAACACCATGAAAGATGCAGCAAATCAAAATGAAATTTGCCTAACAGAGTATGGTAAGATATAAAAATGAATAATAATGCAGTATTTGTATAAATAATAGATAGCATATTACAAAAGCAATGATGCAGCATTTGCATGCTAACCAGAACTGATATAAAATAGAAAAAAGGTTTTGTCCAGAAAAAAGGAATTCTTCTTTTTTTATTATAATCAGTTTCAAACCAAAAGAAGGTATATATAGAAGTTTGAGTCCAAATATGATCAAAGAAAAATAATGTACTGCTACGAATTTTATACTTAGATGGGTAATTTTAGCAGAATTGCAAGTAAAATTGTATTTTTCTGCATAATGTAGCACAAGACAAATTTTTAAGAGAAAGCTATGACAGAAAAGAATACAGGGGCAACTACATTTAACATTGAGTAAATGGGTATCTCTATAATTTGGCAAGATATAGCCGAGCTGACAACGGTTTGGGTGACTTATTTTGTTGCCAAATTGTTATTTTATAATCTTATAGCAAACCTCCAATACTATGAAAATTGGATGGATACCTCTGACTGAAACATTTTTTGTATTTCACTTTTCAGAATTTCTAAGTTTTAGGGAAAAAAATTACTAACGATTAAAATCCTTTCCCTTTAAAATATTAGAATCCCCATTCCATCCACAAAGAAAATTGCATTTATGTCACATTACTTTTATTTTTCCCTTCATTTTTCTCTGTTTTAAAGAAAGGCTACACGAGACAGGTGTAGACTCTTTAAGGCTGAAGAGGGAACATCTGCTCTCATTTGCTTAGTTATTGTTGTTGCGAGTTGTTTAGTTCTGGGTGAACTGAAATATGTCCAAGATGGCCTCCTCTTTAGATACACTTGGCATTGTGTTGCCTTTAACATTCTTAGCAGTTTGAAGTACAACTACTGATCATAGTGTGTGATACTGTGAAGACTTGTACGAATATTTCTGTGAAAAATTCCAGTTCTGAAATATTTTTTAATCAAAATAAATTTTATTAACCTATTATCGGACTCGGGCATTCATTCTATTATGAATTCATACGCACGCAACAGAACGATTGCAAACTATCATACCTTCACATTGCTACTTCCATTGGTCCAAATCCAACCACAGTCACGCAAATTATGGACATCTAACAAAACTCGATGGAGTGGCTTACAGCATTGACACAGAGTGCAATAAACATATCTGAGGACACCATATGGTGCAAATGGCCACTGAAACTAAAAAACATGAATAGGTTCTCAGATTTCATTCACATTCTTTGAGCTACCAGATAGAACTCAATTCAAGGCACAATATATTCTTTGTACAGATTATTGAACCTTTGTGATGATACAACCATACATATCTTGGGGAACATGATTCTGTTCTCACTGGGTATATCTCACTTAGATAAGAACCATAGGTGAAATCATTTGTCATCAAAAGAACCACCATCTGCCAACACCTTGATAAATGTTTCAGACAAAAGCTAAATTTTACCACACACTGAAAACAACAAATTTAATAACTTCACTTAAAAATAATTTTAATTAAATAGTGATATGATTTTTTAAATCAGATTTATTATTCACTTTTTTTGATAAACATGAAAATGTTAATCAGCTTTTCTCTTTATTCATCATTCAGTTTTTACAAGTTTCTGCATGCTAATTCATTTTTCTTATCAGATCGGATAACGAACTGAACTCTGTTCCCTTGAAATTCCTTGTAATGGGGTTTGACTGTATTACCCATTTAAATTTACCCCCCCCCAGAATTGTCATAATACATCTTCAAGCTCAGATATTTACATTAAAGTTGCATACACAAAACCTGCACTAAAATCTCCAAACATAATAATACCAAACTATATGCAAATAAAACCATACTAAACTGCAAAATAAAGATTTTTAAAAAATTATATAGCACTAAGAGGAATGAAATATTTTCAAACCAGCTTTAAATGCATGGAAAATTTATTATCTGATGTATTTAAAAATCATTAAAATCATAGCATAAAATGACTTACTAGCTGTCACATTTAAAAGTGATTCAAAAGTGAATGTTTCAAATATAGTATTATTCTGGTTTTTTTTAAAAGCATGCAGCTGCAGATTTTCAATATCAATGTTGTTCACTTTATCAACTTGTGTGTCATCAGCCCACAAAAATCTGAAATGAAAAACAGTTGATGTACATTAAATTTAAATTGAAATAGACAATTACAAAATAAATAATGTACTAGTATAAGCAATTTATTCTGAATATTAGTTGATTAAATTTAAATAATTAAAACTGAGCAATTTTGATTAATATAAACAGTTTTAAGGAAATCTTATTTACATCTAAAAAATTCTCAACTGTTTTGTCAGATTTAGTAATGATGAATCACTCCTTTAAAAAGAAAAACCACCTACATACACAATATTTTTTTAACTAGTTGTCTTTTGCCTTTACAACCTCACCTTTTCTAATGACTTTTTAACATGTTGTGGTACAATTTTTATCGGGTTTCAATGAAAGTTTCACACCTCCACAAATATCGTCTGCACAAACAGTTAAAGTTGACATGTTTAATCATATTTTGCCATTTCAAAGAAAGAGACTTGCTTTAGAACACTGTGTTGTGAAATTTGCTAAAAAATATAGGTATCAAATAAGTACAAGGTGTCTGAAATGGAACTATCAAGCTACTAGATTAGAACTATCATTTACTTCCAATTCTGTTGCAAAATGTCAGCTACAGAATGTCACCAAATCATGTGTATAGCTTTAGATACTAATGTTGTATCATACGACACTGTGAAGGTTTAGGACCGAAACTTCAAAAACAAGGGCTATGACATTCAAGAAGCAGAGCTCTCTGGTCAGCCTACTGATGTCAATGAGGCCTGCCTGACAGAACTTGTTAAAGAAGATCAGTATGCAACCACTTGAGAGCTTGCAAAGGAGTTGGGCGTTACTGCCATGTCCATTAATCACGCTATGCATCACATAAACTTGATGTACAAGTTCAATTCGCTGGGTGCCGCATGAGCTAACTCAAGCAGATAAGTACAGACGTGTTCAAGCCTGCACTTATCTGCTCAAATATCAATGGAAGGACAAAATTATGGACTGTATCATCACTTGTGAAGAAAAGTGGATTTACTTCAACAACACAGGACAAAAAGGGGGGTGGTGTACACATGGTGAGCTGGTCGGTAATGTCGCAAAGTGTAATCTGACTAACAAAATTATAATGCTGTGTATCTGGTGGGATTGCCATAGTATTATCCACAAAGAGTATCTGGAAAAAGGTAAAACAATTGTCAGTTAAGGTGTACAGCGAAATGCTATTCAGTGTTAATGTTGCTATTAAGGAAAAACGTCAAACCAAATTCTGGCACAAAACAGCAATGTTCCATCAAGATAATGCAAGACCACATGTGTCTGCATTTACCAGCTAGACTCTGTATGGACTCAAATGGGATCTTTTACCCGACCCACCATATAGCGTGCAACATCGCTCCTTCAGACTTCTACCTTTTTTCACACTTTCAGCTACATCTTGATGGTGCCATCTTCCATTCTGCACAGAATGTCCAAAATGAGGTTGATCTGTTTTTGGACTCTCAGCTATCAAGTTTCTGGCCCAAGGACTTTGAAAAACAACCAAAATAATGGCAGAAAAATCATAGATTTGTGTGATGATAACTGCCTGCACTAAAAATATTGCTTTCATGTTTTTTTCCTTCTCCCCCCTGCCATAACTTTATTAAGAATGTTTTTTGGTAGAAAACTTCTGTTATAACTAGATATTTTGTACAATTTAATACAGGCTTACATTTCAGTGTTTTAATAAATCATGAAGGCAAATATTTTAATACTATTTGCCTTCTGATTGGTATTATTTATTTGTAATTTCTTGCTGAAATTATCTATTATATTGATTGATAAACATAAATAATATAAATAGAATCTGAAGATGGTGTGCACTGAAATTAAATTCACACTACATGCATAATCAGTTAAGATATTTGCTACATTGTGGGTTTCATTCCAATAAAAGTGTGCTGTTCATAGTTAATGTAATGTTAGAGAATTACAGAAGTTTGGTTTCTTTCTAGACCAAGTGTGCAGCTAAACCATTAATTTCAGTAATCTTTTTGCTGTTGCTGTTCTTGTCAGTTTGGAAATACAGACCATAAAAAGGAAGCATATTGTGAAATGATTTATAATAGATCAGAAATAAAAAATCTTGGTTAAAACATGGATAAACATATTATTAGTAAAGATGAATGGTTTGTTTACAACAGAATAAGCATATAAGTAGACGCTCGTTTTTACGAACTCGTAGGGACTACGAAAACAGTTCGTTAAATCGAGAGTTCGTAATTTAGAAAGGCATCGGAAATTGTTAGTATTTCACATTTTAATGTTTTCGAGACAGGTTAGTGATACTATTCCATGCTTTTATTTTGTATTAGGAATTATTTTTATATATTACTACTTAATAAATATATCCATTCTATTAAACAAACAAGAAATATAAGTTTGTAAAACGTACCTTTATTAAGTCATTGAGCAACAAAATAATCACTTATTATTTGTCTGTTTTAAACAACAGATTGTACAATGCAAGACTCCATCTTCTCTTTTTTTTAGCATTTCACATTATCACTGGCCTCAAAAAATCGTCTAAGTTCTGACAAGTATTCAGCAAGCTTGTTTTTAAAGTTGTCTTTGGTGTTACTACTTTCATTTTCTTCTTTCTGGATCTGAAAGTCTCTCATTCTCATTGATTATGCTGCTATAATATCGTATCCAATATTTCCCCTCCGTGCAGATGACATTACAATCCACATTTAAAAAATCCTCGAATGAAAGTTCTGGCAACTGTGGATTTCTACGGCGAAGTTTCATGCATGAAAACATCATCTCGTCGTGAGATCTATTGTCATGGATCTTCAGTTACAACATCTGTTTCTTTAATAAAAACCTGCATGTCAAAAGGCTTTAGAAATTGTTTCATCTAAAACACATTCCATGCACTGATTGATAAATGCATTGCACCAAGAATATCATCTGATAAGGTTGTTCCCTTTCCAAGCCAAGGATTAACTTTGCAAGAGCATTGTCTTATAGTTTCGCTTGAAACTATGATTACCCCTGATCCCTTGGCTGTAAAACTGCAGTTGCATTTGGTGGGAGATATTCCACACGGATTGCCTGAAGCCCAGTGACTTCCATGTGTGCAGTACAATTGTCCACGATTAGGAGAACTTTGCGCTTCTCTGCTGAAAAACGGTTATCTAAATCTCTCAACCATTTTTCGTAGATGTTGCCAATCATCCAGGCCTTATTATTAGCATAACATGCAGCAGGAATCTTCTGAACATTTTTGAAACACCTTGGTTTCAGATATTTTCCAATAAAGAGCAGAGGCAATTTTTGTGACCCAGTCATGTTGGCCGAAATCAAAAACTGTAAGTCTCTCTTTAGCTTTTTTGCCTCCAAAACATTATCTCCTTTTTGTAAGCTAAGTTCTTTCTGGCAAAATCTTAAAAAACAAAGCCGTTTCGTCTGCATTAAAAATGTCATCTGCAGCCGCATTCATAAAGAAGCAATTTCAACTCTTCTTCTTTCCATTCATTTGCTGATGACGTGTCTACTGCTGTACTTTCACGCACACTTTCCGGAAAATCAAACCATCCGAAATTTAAATTTCTGTAACCAACCATCCGATGCTTTAAAATCTTTGATGTTTAATTTGGAAGTAAAAAAGGTGCTTGTTCTTTAAGTACATTTCCATCAATTGGAATGTTTAAGCTTCTCATCTTCGAAACCAAACGAGCAAAGCCCTTTCCAAATTTGGGTGTTTTTGATTCTCGAAAATATTTTTGAGAGGAGGGTCCACATTCATCGTCCGTTTTAGCTCCAAAGATCTTCTCTCTTGCCTTTATAATCGTTGATAAACTATTTAGGAATTCCATATTTTCTGAGCAATTGTGTCTTGCTTAATATTTTTTCGTCAACTTCTTTTAAAATCTTTATTTCAAAGACGCTAAACAAATTCGTTTCTTTATTTGCGACATAGCTCTAAGAATCTTACTTAACAAAAACTGGCCCAATCTCCCTCTCGACTAACGAGACTTCACTGATTGAGTTGTCCAGATCAAATGACTATGACATTACAAAAAGCAACAACTCTCTTTTAGAAGAGTTTAGAACCCAAACACCTTTAAGACGAATGGTCTCACCCCCACCCAACAACATCTGGCCGATGCTCTTCTGAGAGCCTCCCACAACAAACACCACCATAAATTTGTCCTAATTCCCCCTCTTCTCCACCCCCTCCTTCCTTACTGTACTTCTTCAAATGTTTTGCACTTGCTGCCTCAAAATAGTTGGAGATTTTATTTGACCTTCACACTTCGTCCCAATGAAACACGCAGATTTATGAAAACTCAGTTCGCAAAAAAGAGATTTTCCCGATTTGTAGTTTGTAAATAAGAGCGCAAAATTACATTTCATCTATGGGAGTGTATTCAGGACCATTCGCTAGTTCGTCAAATCGAGAGTGTTTGTAAAAAAGAGGTTCGTAAAAACGAACGTCTACTGTAATATTTACTCAAAATGAAGTCTACAAAAGAATGACTTTGTTCATTTTCACCTGAAAATAAACACAAAACTAGTAAACCTGGACTTTACATTCATATGGTTCAACAGAATGCATTTACATAGTTAAGAATTAATATGTTACATTAGGCAAAACTGCTAATAAGAACAATGTTCTGCTTTATTATTAAGTCAATATGATTCATAACAAGCAATGACAGCTATTACAGGTAAAAGTAAACCTTACTGTTCAACACATTATGAAGCTAGCCATTATATCAGCTTCAAGGTAAAGATATCAGTATTATTTTCAGGTCTCAGTTATTAAAAACTATGCCAAATAAATCATTTTTCTTTCTGCAATCAAGCCCACATTTTCAGTATGCTTTCAAAGCATTTTAAGATAATTTTCTAGCATGTCAGCACTGATTCAGCCTCACAATGAAGATATCCAAGTAATGAACAATCATTACTGTTCTGAAAAATTATCAAAATAACACTAGTAAACATGGAAGAGGAAAAACAAGGGTACTAGACAAGAAGATCACTCTCTGGTTGCTTGATACGTTTTATCTGCGTACCTTGTATAACTGAATCATTGCAAAAAAAAAAAAAAAAAAAAAACAATGGAAAATGAATGACAAAAATGAAGGATTTTTAAAAGAAGTCTACGCATTTTCTGGTTTCATAATAAATGAACAATGCTTTATTATTAAATGAATATGATTCATAACATGCAATAACGGCTATTATAGGTCAAAGTAAACTTCAGTGTGCAACAACACATTATGAAGCTAGCCATTAATTATCATATCAGCTTCAAGGCAAATATATCAGTATTATTTTCAGGTCTCAGTTATTAAAAACTGTGCCAAATAAATCATTTCTTTTTCTGCAATCAAGCCCACATTTTCAGTATGATTCCAAAGCATTTAAAAAAAAAATTCTTAATTAATTCAGCCTCACAATGAAGATATCCAAGCAATGAACAATCATTACTGCTCCGAACAAAGATTACCAAAATGACAGTAGTAAACATGGAAGAGGAAAAACAAGGACACAAGAGAAGATAATCATTCTCTAATTGTATTTTATACATTTTATCTGTGTGTCTTGTATAATTGGATCATTGAAAAGGAAAAAATGCAAAATGAATTACAAAAATGAAGGATATTTTCAAAAGAAGTCTACACATTTTTTGGTTTCATAACAAATGGCAACCTCCCTTGATTTGAAAAGATTATTTACATGCTTGGATATCAAATGACTAAGATATTTTTGGTTATGAAGTGCTTAGAGACAATATTTGTTGCTTTGTTATACATAAAAAAATTTTAAATATACAAAAATTGTGCATGAAAAAGTAAAATGTCTTTGATCAGTGAATTAAGCACATGAAATCTTTATCAATTTGTGGCATCATGTTCCTCAGTGTTTTACCAATTTTTAAAAACTCAAGAAATCCAAAAATGCTCATTGATAATTACTTAAAAATACAGATCAATAACGACTTGTATATACTTATATAAATCGATTATGACTTTGTAGAATTCTTAATACATAAATATGGCATGATTTTGCTAAAGAATTCTTATGAGCAATTTTTAGTTTCACAAGTAATGAGTGTGATTACATTAAATACCCTTCTATTGAATCATAACAATTTTTTAACTCGTATCTAAACATTCATATGAATAGCAAACATTTAAGAGAATGGAAACAAATTTTAGAACACAAAGTTAACTTCATCACACTAATTTACACATATAAGAATATTTTCAAGTAAAATACTGAATAAAGATTTTAACAAAATACTTTTTTTTTACTAAAGAAACAAACATTTAATCCAAAATTTTAAATAACTCATAAAATTAATTGAAAGATATGTGCTATGGGAAATTAAGTGTAAAACTCATACCCTTTGAATACTTTAACAGATGGTATGTTGTCTGCAACATCTTTCAGAACAACATCAGACAAATTAATGCCATTTAAATCAATAACTAACAATGACTTTAATTTCAGATGGTTTGTAAATGTCATTTTCTCATGAATTATTTGATGTGTATCCAAAGTAACAACAGCTTCTTGCAATATTCTAATATTTTTAACTAAAACTTGATCATCAATTTGATCTCCTAGTAAAGAAAGCAAAATAGGATTTTAATAGAGTAAAATAACAAATGAAAATTATTCAATTAATACATTTTTTAAACAAATACTTACGGAATATGATTTAACACTTAGAATGTATGTAAGTATAGATGACAGACATGCATATAGTGTGTCAAATTTTAAGTGCACCTGATAAGTTGTCACTTGACAACTAAATAAAAAGGATATTTTGCTTTGAATTATTAAATGCTTAATTTATCTGAGATGCCAGCAATACTGATAATCTACTGCACTGAAAATACTCGAGCAGGGCCAGTTAATATTAATTAACATTTATAAGAGAGAACAGGTAAAGAAAGTTTTAATGAATTAATTAATACAAAATTTAGACAACAAGAAAACCACATTAGTGGGAAGCCTTCAAATGCATTACTCCTCTTGGCATGTTCATAGGATTCTGGATGCTTAAGTAGAAGTCGAGTACTATTAGAATATATCAATTCTTTCTTTACATGTATTTAAATTTCTAAAATACACTCAAAGTGGATAATGGTACTCAGATCGCTCAGCTGGCTAGCGAAAAGGAAGAATTGTTATACAGTCAAAAGTCGTTAATCCTGACTCGTCGGAACTTCGGCGATTCCGGATTATCGATTTTTCCGGATTATAGATCATCAGTTTAAATCTGGTAAGATGGCATGCAGAAATTATAAAATTAAAAGTATGAAAACATAATTTATGAAATGGATTATTATGATCTAAAGGGTATCAAAATTTTCAAAAAAAAGCTTAATATTTATTTGTTTACTTTATTAAACATTTTTTTCAATGTAAATTGTTTCGTTTTCAATAGCTCTGTGTCACTTTCTTCTTTATCGGAAGCGAATTATAACGATGAGCAATTTGATTTAAATCATATCAAAGACTGAGTACATCGAGATGAAATACTACATTTAGTAAAGAATTATAAGCCAAATAAAATAAAAACATCTGCCCTGAAGATAAGGATAGTGCTGAGAGATTAGCTTCCAATTCATTGCGCGCCGTGGCGTAACGTATTATGCGCATGCGCACATGCATATTCGCAGCCGTAATGGTCTTACGCGCATGCGTCAACGCGACGCATTTGCAGAAAGTTTGTAGCTTTGAGGTCCGGATTATGGGTGTCCGAATTAACGACTTTTGACTGTACTTTACTTCTGTAAAAGAGGGGAGATTTGTATTACTTTTTGCTTAACCTTTAAAACTAAACTAGCAGATATTAGCTTCATAAAATTAGACATAAAACTTCTTACATAAACAATAATTTAAAGAAACAAGCTGTTCTAATAATCATTGTTATTATACTAGCTTTGCTTGGATTGGTGTAAAAAATTTGGAACTAAAATTTCTGCAAATAATTCATACACATTATAAATATGATTATACTTTCGGTTTATTTTTCGAAGATGAATTTACAATTAATCATAAATATTCCTGTTAAAAAATGCAGTACCTTTACTTCAAAATATTTCCATGCTCTGAGATAATGCTATTTAGTACAAATTAATGAATTCTAATTTGATTGGGAGTTCTATCAAAAGCAAACTTACCTTCCAAGTGTTCAAACCATTTATTCAAAATAAATTTTCTAGGTGATAAGAGGATGGAATTATCCAAGTAATGAGTAAAATTTTTTGAATTAAGCTGGGAAAAGGAGAGCTTATTTGCAGTTAAACTATGAAGTTCTGCTTCTTTAAAGTGTTTTATACCTGAGGAAAAGAAAAACTTGATGAGGAATAAAAAAAGAAAAAGATGCATATAAACATTTTAATGAAGGGTTTACAAAAAGAAAACTAATGCAAACACATTTTTATGTCTCAAGTTCTATAGCATACAATACCTTGGATACCTGAAAAATTACGTTAGAAGTAATAAAAGTTTTACCAAATATAGTTCATTAGCTAGTCATAATTAAAGACACAATAACACGGCGAACAAATACTAATTCAGAAGTCAAAGAACAAAAATAAGCATTATATTTTCAAATTTTTACAGGACTAGTTTTGATGGATTTATAGAACCACCATGCTCAGCTACAAAAGCGCAAATGAACCAGACAGGATATAATGATTAGGTAAGAAAGCCTGGACAAGAATAAGCAAGTGGTGCCATCTGTTGCTGAAACCAGAACTAAAACATAATTTCTTTAAAGGCTGAAGGCAAAGATGGATTGGAATTAGGATCGTAAACTAGAACAGAAAGATTTTTTTGAACGTGAAATGCCTCTAGAAAATCCAGTTCTCCAATGGAAGATGTTTTTTGAAAATCTTTCAAATTGAAAGTCCTTTTTTATTACATATATATGTGTAATATATTCAGGAGCAGAAATTTTGATGGCTTAGAAGTGTCGATCCATAATGACTAGGAAATTGGAGGTGAAGGCAGATTAAATCTTCAGTTTTATTTTCAGCAACATGTTAGGGCTACACACAAGTCGGCACATTAAATGTGCCTGTTCCAAAGGGCTTACATTTTTGATAACTTTGTAGCAAGAAAACAGCAGCAGACAGACAGCAGTTTAACTAGGCCAAAGCATGGAAAGCAAGTGTGTAACGTTCAGGATGAAATCTTAAGTCGACTGAGTTAGTTTTGGTTTTCAAAGCATTTTGATTCTACAGTTAATATTGCTGTAAAATTACTATTGGCTGGTTGAGTTTTAGTTCCATTTATTTACATGATCATAATTACGTAAGAATCATATGACATAGAATAGTCTCGAAATGACGCAGTGCAGAGAGGGGTTACTATTTTTAGAATTGAGAAGGGAAATTTACGTTGCTAATTTAATCTTTTACATATTCTTTATTTTTCTTACATATATACATTTATTACATATTTGAAATTTACATCTTTTGCTGCATCGGCATCAGGGGGTTGAAGTTACGAAAGAAGTAAATAAATCAGCCTGTTTCTGAACTAACAAAGACAGTAATTACATTTTAAAACAATCAAAGTAGCCTGTGACTTCATCAGTTATATAAACAGATTTAAAAACCAAAAATATTTTGAGTAGTCAGAGCCCCAAAAATAAAAAATGCAAATCTAAGCATATATATTGCTTATAGTTTTTTTATATTTTTTTATGCAACATTTTGAACTGTGGTTTCCAGATAGTGAGTTTGTCATTTTACATATGTAATAATTCTATTTATTTTCTCTCTTAATTAATTTTACAGTATGTTGCAAGCCATTAATAGTATTTTTAATCAATTTTTATCCAGTTTCTGATCACTGTGTGTGTATCTATATGTATAGACAAAGATTGATATACACAATACACACACACATAAATTAAATTGTTTTATATTACAGGATCTAAAAAAATCAAAGTTTAATCTGATCTAAAATTTTCAAATAAATATATTATAAACTGGCACTTCCTTGTTAGCTAGACACAAATGATATGTCACCAAGTATGGTTAAAAACTTTCTGATGTTAGCAGTAAAACAAAAAATACCAACTTCATAAGTCCTATCTAAACAGAAACAATAACTTCTATTTTAATAGGAAATGAGCTTGCTTCAGTAATATTTATTTGTACATTAATGAAAATTTTTAACATAATAATCTGAGATTTATCAGCATGAGTAGAAGAAGCTACAAATTTATAATTATAAAAAGGATTTATGCCTTTTTTACATGCAAGAAAAATGAACTGTTTTTCTATTCAGTGGTACAAAAAACTATACATGGCAATTGATTAATTTTTAACACATGACAATTTATGACAAAATCATTTTGCATCCATTTTGCATTTGTGCTACCACCCAAATATCCATGAATTGCTCTCGATGTTATATATAAAAAAGAAATTAGTATTAATACAGATTAAATATTAACTTCATGATATAATTTATGTCATAAAAATTTGTTATTTTAGTACAAGAACTTTAAAAAGTAAATCTAGTTTAAGTTGATATTAATACAATTGACACACAATCATTAAGGAAATATCTCATATCCATACCAGAACATGTTGACATTTCTTGAACTTTCATCAGATCTGATATATTAATGTTCATTATATTGAAGACAGTTAAATTACCTCCTACTCTCATATTCTGCAGGCTGATATCATTCAGAAGAATATTATGCTAGAATTATAAAGGACATTACAAATTTTATTCTTTTATTGTCTTAGATATGTTTTATCATCATGATTGATAATTTAATGTCATTAAATACACTAAAATTTAACCTCAGATACTTGGCATAATAGGAAGAAATAGAAGGAAGCATATTTTGAGATGCAACAAAATAAAGCTGTACAATACTTATGAATTAATTAAGAGCTTTGAAAATGTATGAGACTAGTAAAGAGAAAAAGAGTAATTTAAAATGAAATCTAAATTTTCTTTTACTAATCACACATAGAAAATTTGTGTTTAAAGATGCGATTTAAAATATAAATTATACGTCATGAATTAAAAACTTTTAAACCATATTCTGCATCATGTTTAAAAACCTAAAATATAAACACAAAGAAAATTTTCGCTTTGAAGTGAAGCATATTCAAATTTAATGTGCACAACAAAATATGTAATAGATTTAAATCATGTAAAAAGATACTAACACAGAATAAAATTTAGAGTTATGTAAGACAAAATATACACAAGTTTGGACACAAAATAATAACTTTCCAGAAGTTTTTTCTTCACAGTTATAAGCAGTTCGGGTGGTCAGCAGGAATGGTTTTGAAATTTAGATCATAATTCTAAAAATAGCTATAAGTTTCCTAAAAAATAATCACTTAAAATTAAAGGCAGCAGAAAATTAAAAAAATGCAGCTGATCTGTGGTCTCAAACTAAATTACCTGCAGGCCAAGTGCAGAATTTAAAAACCGCTGAAGGAGCAGTTTTTTTTTTTTTTTTTTTTTTTTTTTTTTTTTTTTTTTTTTTTTTAAAGCAAAATGAAAAATGTTCTTAACTAAAAATTTTACATTACACCCAAAGGGGCATTTTTTTAACATTTTGTGTGTTACCTTTAATTAATATCATGTTCTTTACACTTAAACCATAAAATTCAATTCAACAGCATTAGCAAAATAATTTTAAAATGAGCATATCTTGAGAATTTCTGATACACAGTCTCACCCGCTGGAGATAAAAATATTTTTTTTCATACAGTGTTATCATCGCTCGCATTGAAATCTTCGAGTTTCTTAATCAAAAACTCATAAATGCTTTACAAATTATGAAATCGACAATAAAACAGATTTCAAATTAAAACTTTCAGATGCCCATATTCGGTGGAAGATTACGTTATTCAAAAGCTGATGGCTCTAGGTACTCTTGTTTGATCACAATGCGAGAAACAGGAACACCAGGGCCAGGAACACCAGGAAAACAGACCAGGGCAGCAATCAAATATCCTGTATATCGAGGAAGGTCAGAACAAGACGTGCAACAGGTAGTCTTGCATTATTTTGTTGGAAGATGGCGTTTGTCAGGCTTCAAATATAGAGCACAACCACTGGACCTAAGATGTCAGAAATGTACCGATTTGCATTCAAATTGCCATTGATTCAAACTAGAGATATTCATGTTGTGTACCCAATGGCTGCCCAAACCAACACACCAGGTGCAGGGCCCCTATATCAAATGCAAGCAGGCGACATGAAGTCTCCTTGGAGCCTCCAGACACGTATACAGCCATCAGAATACTGCACACAAAACCAGGACTCATCTGAAAAGACGACATTGTGACACTCCTGTATCCAGCCGTCATTCGGTACATCAGATTCGTCGTCTCTCTCTATGTTGCAATGTTTAGGGAAGTCGAAATAATGGTAGCCGTGCTAATAGTCCACAGTGCTGCAAACATAGATACTTCATACCAGCGGAGATCTATCTCGATGGTGGCGATACTGGGCATGCTGCAAAAATCCCTATTTCCTGTCTAGTGGTCCGTGATGTGATTGTACAGTTTTGCAGGGCTGACATCACATTATGTCTGTCCTCTCGGGTGTTATTCATGGGAGGGTATTGAGAACCTGCATGCCGTTCATTATGACCCTCAGCAACCCATTGATTCAATATTCACATGATATTTATCCAAAGGTTGGGTGTCGACTAGTGTGATGGGCGATACTGCGGAACGATAACCCACACTCTTGATAGGCAACGATACTGCCTCTATCGAATTTCGACTCTTGCTCATAAGCATTTCTTATTATTATTCAAGGCATAACACAATATTCTGAACAAACTCTGACCTTAGAAAGCCCTTTCAAATGAGAAATCCACTATACAACTTTTCTTTTATGCAGTGCTTCAAATGTTGTTTCTCCCTCCTGCATCATCTAAATGTGCTGAAATACTAATCGTTTGCATATCCCAACCTCTTCTTCCTTTCAAATGATTTTGACATTCCTCAGATAATTCCTTCCTGGTTTTGCAATTTTAATGGCCAGCAGTGTGTAATGACAGTTATACATTAAATTCTTAAACTGACATTTCTTACAAATAGTTCTAACATCTTTACTTAATTGGTAAATAATCTAACTTAATGATAAATATGCAAATTATGAAAACTACGCTTTCAGAGAAAATTTACCAAGTAGGACAAAATTTGTGAATAAATAATGACAATTTAGCCCGTTATTCATTTAATTTTTCTTTGACATATAAATAAAAATATATATGCTTGTTTGTAAATAATTATAAACTTCTTTATTTCTTAATATGGCCTAACACACAATGGCATTTCAATTCTGATAAATTTGTAGCTTTGGAGACAAATTTTTAGAAATAATCCTCAACATGTGTTGTAGATGCTGATCGGTTAATTGGATTTTCTTCTTGTTAAATTTCAACTGTGAAGAAAAGCTGTTCATATATAAATAAATTCATTATTCTTTTGCAAAAATTTGCAACTGAGATTATTTTTTGATAAGTATGAATAAAAGTTAATGAAATCTATCTTCAAATCTTTGACTAAGACATGCAACACAATGTAAATTAATTGGGTCTATTTATAAATTTTTTGGTGCTTTATTCATGTCCATTTTTAATGGAAGTGAAAATGTGAACACAGGCTTCAAATAACTAAAATCTTGAAATTTTTCAACACCCTATCTGCTACAGATACAGAATTGAAATGTTTTTGCAGGCTACATAAAACTACTTTAAGGGATGCATGCAGCTCAGAGGCTACCCGTTTGTCATTGCTGCTCCAGATCACTGACATACAATAGGAAAGGGATGAATCAAGTATTCACAGAGAAAAAGGGGTAACATTAACTACACTTTTTTGATAACTGGTTTAAAATAAGGAGTATATTCTTTGGAAATTTGCTAAAGATACCTGGCCTGAATATTTAGAGAAATGCTATGAAGATATCCAATACACATACTAAAATGCAGACAGTCTACCTCACAAATATAGGAATTTCTTATAAAAATTTATTTCTTTTAGAAACATCTGAAGGCAAAAGGTATAGCATTTATACATTCATTATATCTGGTGCTTAACTTAAGCAGTAAAGCATTATTCATATGTGTTTAAGTGAATTGAAAACTTAAAGACTACCAAAAGTAATTTAAATAATCACCAGTTAAAATTTTTGGCTGAAGTACAGAATTTTTAGCACTTAAATTTTTGCAATACTATACTGACTGTAACTTGTTACTTTAGAGTCATTTATCCCTACTTGGCTTGTTTCATAACCACAGAAACAATACCTGAAATAGATAGACAAGTTACCCCCAAAAGCCTTTTCTTCCACTTTCTTTTAGCATGCTTCGCAGCATAAAATGCACACAAATAAAGGCAGATGTGAACTACAGTCTAAAATGAGGTGAAAAAAATAATGTCATGCAATAACACATTGTGATTACAAATGGGAGAGGGTCAGAAAGATAAAATATATTTTAAAGCAACAGATTAGCAGACACTAGTTATTATACCTATAAGGTCAAGTTTGAATTCCAAAATAAAATATGGAAATTTCTGGTGTCATATCTTTTCTGTTCTGCAAATGCAATATTATCCCATCCCCCTTTTCATCCAACCCACCAGCAAATTGCAAACTGATGGTTCTCTGGCCATTAAAGAAAAAAAATTCAGTAATTTTAACATAACTCAGAAGAAAGTTACACACCACCAGAATTATTTTTACTGACATAAAATGCAATTTTTTTTTTTTTTTAACATAAAGAATCGATTTCAAATATTTCATTGAAAGTATATTCTTTTTTCCCCTTTCTAATAATTCAGAAAAGAGAAAAATACAATAAATTCAACAGTAAAAGTTTACAAATATTTTTGTTTCAGAATGTAAGACAAATGAAAATATTTTTGAAAAACAAAGCCCAAAGATATAATAATCTGTATTGCATGTATTTGAAGGAGGGGGATTTTTAATATGAAACAACAAAGAAAATTACGTCTGAAAGTTACAAATTACATCTACATTAAAGCTCAGTCTGTTTTACCAAAATTTTGTTACATGGAACTGTAGTTAATAAAAAGAATAAAAAAAATATTTACCAACACTTCTGAAGATGGATCAAAACCATTAATAGTTTTATTCTTTGCTAATTTAATAGATCCTGCATGAACATCTTGAAATGACTTGCTGGCATTAAGGATATTAACTGACTTCATACTTAAAAATTCATTCAGAGGAATATTATTTAAAAACTTCACCAATAGATGTTTTACAGAAAATGTTTCAAAATAACCATCTGAAAAATTCTAAGAAGGCAAAAAAAAGTTAATTTCAATCTTAAAAGACACCATTTAATACATATTTTGTTTGCCACAATTAAAAACAAACTTTTTACAATTATAACACTAAAAGATACACTGAAGTACTAAAGAAACTGTTTCAGATGAGCCTATGCAGAAGACATAGTTATATTACTTATGCACATCACCAGTGTGTATAAACATCTGCGTACATGAAAAACTAGGCCACTAAAACTAGAAAAAACAAAGTAAAAAAAACTATAAAAAAACACAGTCCCTGAAGAGTTTTCTTTGGCGACACATTTTTTGTCAAAGAATTTTCGTCAAAACCCTTAAAAAATAAGGAAAGAGTTGGAATTGATAGAATTAGAAAAAATTATCAGGCTATAAGAGTAAAAATGCCAATACTAAAATTATAGAAATGTGGAATTCAATTCCAGACATATATATCTGTCAGAAGAAGTTAATGTATGTTATTTTTATAATATTTTTAGTTACTTGTGCCTGTGAGTTATTTTCAGAAATGAAGTAACATTAATCGACTTAGAAACTGTCAGATGACCATAGTTCAGTAAGTAACAACTAAAAGTATGAACCTATTATATAAATTATTTGGTATCTAATTTGCAACAGCAGAAATTGCACCAATTTACTCTGGTGTTGCAAATGTCTGTTTGCAAATAAAAAATCATTAATGCAGAAGTATTTATTTTTATTTTTATTTTTTTCCTCACTAATCAATAAGTTAATATTACATTAAGACACAATAACACGCCGAACAAATACTAATTCAGAAGTCAAACAACAAAAATAAGCATTATATTTTCAAATTTTCACAGGATTAATTTCAATGGTTTCACCTAACCACCATCCTCCGCTGTGGAAGTGCAAATGAAAGAGATAGGATATAATGATCAGATACGATAAGAAAGCCTGGACAGAAAATAAGCTAGTGGCGCCATCTGTTGATGAATCAGAACTAAAACAATTTCTTTAATGGCCGAAGACAAAGATGGATTGGAATTAGGATCGTTAACTAGAACAGAAAGATTTTTTTCAATGTGAAATGCCTCTAGAAAATCCAGTTCTCCAATGGAAGATGTTTTTTTGAATAATTTTGGCACCAGAAAAATTGAAAGTGTGATTTTCAGAAACAACAATGTTGGACAACAGAAGACTTCTGTGTTTCCTTTTTTCTAACATATGCCTCATGTTCCTTGACGCGAAATTTTAAGGCTCTTTTAGTTTGGCCAATGTAAATTAAACCACACTGGCAATGAATCCTATAAATACCCCAGGAATTCATATCCGGAATGGGGTCCTTGAGTATGGAACTCTGAATTTTATTGATGGTAGAATAAACGACTCAAAAGTTAAATTTCTGCAAAATATGTGCAACTCTAGCTAACTGATAGAAAGAAGGAAATGGCAACAGAATTTTTATAATCTCCTAAAACAAGAGTGCCTTACAGTGTGTGAGATGAGAATTTTTTAACTGCTTGATTGATAATGTTGGGTGAAAAGCCCATGTCAATAGCTATTGCTTTTAAATAATTTAGCTCTTCATGAAGAGACAGTTTGGAGGAGCAAACTTGAAGAGCAAGGAAAACATAGGAATAAAATGAAGCTAACTTTTGTTTATTCGGATTACATGATTTAAAGTGTGGTGGAAGGCAAACCGATGAAGGTTTACGGTAAAACATAGTACTGAAGTTCGATGTGTTACGTGTGACCAGAATGTCGAGAAACGGAAGAGAATTGCAAGTCTCAAGTTCAAAAGTGAACTGAATAGCAGGATCAATGGAATTCATTGTTGAAAGAACTAACTCATACTGAAGGACCCCATTCCATACTCAAGGACTCCATTCCGGACATGAATTCCTGGGGTATTTATAGGATTCCTTTCCAGTGTGGTTTAATTTACATTGGCCAAACTAAGAGAACCTTAAAATTTCACATCAAGGAACATGAGGCATATGTTAGAAAAAAGGAAACACAAAAGTCTTCTGTTACCCAACATTGTTGGTCCGAAAATCACACTTTCAATTTTTCTGCTGCCAAAATTATTCAAAAAGCAACTTCCATTGGAGAACTGGATTTTCTAGAGGCATTTCATATTAAAAAAAAATCTTTCTGTTCTAGTTAGCGATTCTAATTCCAATCCATCTTTGCCTTCGGCCTTTAAAGAAATTATGTTTTAGTTCTGATTTCATTAACAGATGGCGCCACTAGCTTATTTTCTGACCAGGCTTTCTTATCTTATCTGATCATTATATCCTATCTCGTTCATTTGCACTTCCGCAGCAGAGGATGGTGGTTAAGTGAAACCATCGAAATTAATCCTGTGAAAAATTTGAAAATATAATGCTGATTTTTGTTGTTTGACTTCTGAATTAATATTGCATGTTGGCACGTCATGACCACATTAAATATTTCTTAAAAAAAACTGGGACATAAATGAATAAATATTCACCATCCCAGTCCTAATGAATATAGAGTTATTGATCTAGAGCTATGCAACTAGTCCAAGTTCAGCAATTTGATACCTGATAAATAGAAATGAGTAGTCTGGTCGAACTACATACATTTTAAAACTGTTTTGCGCAGAGGGAAGAATTATTCCCATGAATTTATGAATTCCACATGTTAACTAAAGACTTTACAAACTGTGTTATCTCCATAACCATACCTGGTTTCTTAAAATATCATGATAATGCAATGATTTGGGAACTAGGATATGTCTACAAACATCTCTGATAAGTATGCACATCCTTTCTAGAAAGCACTGCATTCACTCTGATTAAGGTTCATTCATCTAAGCTTAGATCTTTATGAATGGTCTCCACAAAGTTACATAAGTAATGTTTTCTTACCCACAAAGAGTTAGAACTTGGCCACAACCCCTTTAACGACCAAATCTTAAAGTTATTGAACAAATTTGAGATGCTATGCAATGTGCTGTTAAATATAGAAATCATACTCCTCTAAATACAGCAAAATTATTGACATTAGAAAATATGATGTTCATTATTTATAGAATATTTCTGCATAACTGCAGAGTTCATTTTTCTGCAGTTCTTCACTTCTATAGAAGTGGCACAAAGTAGTAAGCAGGTATAAAAGTTTCTTTTGGCACTTCGTTATATTTAGCTTCACAAGACATTTTGAGAAACAAAGAGAAAAATAAAATAGAAAAAACAATTTTATGTCTCATGCAAGTGTATTTCATACTTTACACAAAAAATTGATAATATTTACACAAACAGAATAACTCTATGTCATATCCAGATTAATATGAATGCAAAGAGAATCCAATCTGTTCACACTATAATACTTCTAACATTATTATGGAAATAACACATAATTGTTAACAGACTATATAAAAGAGATAATAACCTGATATTTCTTCTGCAAAACATTTCTTGTCAAATTTTTAAGATTATGCATATCATTTTCAATACCTACATTATGAGTCACATTTATATTGCCAATGGTTATATCATTTTTAAACTCAGCATCTTTACTGGTTAAAATATTAGAAGCTATAGATGTTAGGCTTATGTTATTAATTAATCCTTCATCTTTCATAGCAATGTGTGAAACATAAACAGTTTCCATGAAATGGACAGAACCATTAACACTGCTATTTTCAAGTCTCTTCACAACATCATGTTTTAGCTCAATTCTATTCAATAAATTTACTTCCACACTATTAAATAAAATATGGTTGAATTTCATATTTCCAAGCAGAATCTGTGAAAGCTTGAGTAACATAAGTTGTGACACATTGATTTTGTTTACAAGTCCATCAAGTGTGAGATTTTCCCTTATGCTGAATAATTTGAAGAAATTTTTTGTACCTAAAAAAATAATTCAATACATAAATAACTACAGATATTTTATGATGTACACAAATATAAAAACAATCAAATTTAATCTGAAATACTTTTTAAGACCAGAAACAAAAATAGAACTCACCTTTTATATCCTCATCACCAACTTTTTTAATTCCCTTTTCCACAAAGTCAGTAATATTCATTTTATTAATAGTTTTTGCAGTTATATTAGCTAGGACAGTAATGTTTGATAAGAAAGTCAAAGGCATTGTTAAAATCTCTGTGTTTAAATAAACTGCATCTTTTATAACTTGAATTAATTTTGCCTGAAATAAAAATATACATACAGAATTGTATTCATAAAGTTTTCCATTTTCAGTATAATACAAAGACATGTACTTATCCAAATACATTATAAACTTATCAGCAAAAGATTAAAGATATTGATAAATTTTAAACCTAAAAAAACTTTAACGAAGCATTTTCAAATCATTTCAAAGCAACATATAAGAATACATGTAAAACAAGTCTTTATATAATAAAAGCCTGACTATTCAACATTCTGCTAATCAGAAAGCTCAAATAAACAGAAGCCTTTAGAATTTTAGATAATTTGTTAGCAAAAATCTAAGCAAATGAAAAACTAAAGCCATTATAAAGCATATGTAAAACTTGTATTGGCATCCTACTTATAGCATTTAAAATGTGAATGCAATTAATTACATTACTCTCTTTCAGAAGATGTTGATTACTCACACCCTAGTATCCATTTTACTGTTCCAAGAATTTGTCTTGGAACTGGGCACTCATAGAAATAGCACAGGAGCTTATCAGAAATTCCAAAATTCATCACAAGCACTAAATCCATCTCTGCAAGAACTGTTCTCACCAATATGTTTAAAATCGACCATTCGACTTTTCTGTCAATTGTTTTTGACAAACAAAAACTGTAGTGAAACAATGTATTTCAACATCTGCTTTCTGCAGCAATCTACAAACCAAAAATAGATAAGCATGATTTTCCTACCTACTTGCAATCGGATAAGATCTCACAATGTAATCATAAGATTTTTGCACTGGTTTTATGTAAAACCAATTAATTCTTGATGAGCCAGATTAAATTTTTAAATAATATGAGTTAACAGCTATTTGTTTTTCCATTACATTTTCAAAAACTGATCAAAATTTGGGACATGTTTTTAATGGAACAGCATGCAGTGGAGTATTTTCAAACAGTACCTGTCATTGAAGAAACACGAGTGGTAAGGCAACTTCCAGCCCAAATGGAATAGTGACCAACTGGAAGAGTGGTTAACAAAGGGCTTGGTTTCGTATCCTGGAGAAGGCATGGATGTTTGTGTCTGTGCAGCATTAGACACTCAAAATATGTGGAAGCCAAAAGTCTTCTTAAGAGACTAGTGATAGAGAAAGAGGGATGGGAGACCCTAGGACCTGCCCCCCCACCCCGGATGACCTTCAAAACTGGGGCCTGAACTGAGCGAAGTCGTACTGTCTTATGGTGCCCATGGCTTTAGCTAATGTGAGCTGCAGTCTTGACTCCTTGTCACGATGAATTTTGTGGACTTTCTCTGATTTCAGACAAGAGAGGTTAGTAACAATAATTTTATTTGGAAACAAAGAATGATGATGTAAAGTGAAAAATTATGATATGTAATTTAAGTTTTTTATATGTTATTTCTGTAGATACCTGGCTGTAACCTAGCTAAATAAATACAAATCTGTTTTGTTTTTTTTTAACCTTTGGCAGATTGGTGCAAGTTTGATGGTATCTGCTATATATGAAAACCAGTGGAATTCATTACCAAATGAGATGTTTTACTTCCACATGTTTAAGGTCCAAGAAACACCTTGGTTTTATGTCCCCCCCTTAAGATCTTACATAAACTTAAATCTTGGCATTGGGCATTCAAGTTAATAACAAATAAAATTATTGATTGTCCAGAATTTTCACATATTCAGCATTTCTCATGCTTTCTGGGCAGTCAGGCTTTTACTGCAATATGTTTCTGGATAGCTTACATTGTAAATAAAATGTTAGTTTACCATACAGTATAATGCCTGAAAAAAAGTTTTTGCACTCAAGCCTAGTGACTCGTTTAATACTACACCAATAACTCCAGCACTACATTAGTTACAAGTGTACATATACAGAAAAAAAGTATAATTGCTGCAATAAAAGGAAACATTTATTCCTCAGTTATACTAAAGTGAATTCAAGTTTATAAATCTTCAACAAAAAGAAAATTTCATGTTTTGTAATTTGTCATAGTGTAATATTTTTGGACACTATCATCCATACACATGCAGGATTTCCTGGGGCAACTACCACAAAAATCATTAATTTCATGTCTTTTTCCTTTTTACTGTTTTGTTAGGGCATCTTACATATGGGTTTACAATATTTTGAATGAAACAAAAAATCATTTATTGTGATTGCTAAACACATTAAGATAAATTCATGCATCAGTTTATATATTCCAACCCCCAAATAACTGCTCCCTGGTTGGCACACTGTCAGGAACAGTTTTCATGGTTGGAGTATATAAACTGATGTGTGGCCAGCAAGACCTGCCATCTAGTGAGCAAGAGAGAAAGATTCATATTTTTGAATCCAGTGCCAAAGATAAAGACGTTGCAGCAATAAACATATGCATCAGTTCATACAAAAACGCTCAAATAAGCAAAACAAGTTAACTACTGTAGCAGCGACAATGGATTTAAAGTTCATATTTTGAATGCTGTATTATCGGTGGCAGTGAAACCCAAATGGTTAAATAACAGTTTCTTGTAAAAAAATCAAATGTTTAAAAACGCAACGTGTCTTCACAAAAAAATTACATACAACACAAAATAAAACTTCACTATTATAAAACATTATGATAGGAAAATGTGACCAAAAACTGTTCAACTTTTAAAAATTATGATAAACATAATGAGTTGTACTATATCACTTGATAGTAACACCACCAAAATGTGGAGTATCTATGCAATTTTTATAAGATAGCTTCATGAGCAATTATAGCTTTTTTAAGTTTGTGTTTTATCAATTGTATTCTCAGTATATTTTAAAACCTTAAATTTTAAGCATAATGATTTTCTCAATAAAAAAGTAACTTCAAAATTCATAAGAATTTTTAAGGTATTTAGTAAGCTTAAATATTCATAAGATAAAAGTACAATAGCTAAGATAAAAATTTTACTAAGGAACTCGTAAATTGCAAATTTAATAACAATCAGTTTCTAATAATGCTTCATTTAATAAATTATTTGGTTATTAACTTATAATCAAGAAAGTTCTACATATGACTGATAAGAATTATTCTCATTTTGAAAGAGCATATTACAGTAATGAATAAATAAAGCAAATGCACACACAGACCTACTGCATTTTAGGCTCATCTCTTATGGGACAGAAGCTTTTGCATAAAATAAAAACTTACTTTACATATATGAATGTTGGGGATTCTTGTCATTTAAAACACATATTTGTGTTGTTGCTGCTTTTTTTCACTCCCAGAATGTTTAAAAATTTCTTCCAAGTTTTTCCTACTGCCTCCCCTCCTTTTTAACCATAGTGATTCTTTTGAAATTTTTTCACTTCTAATACACAAACCATTACCAAGAACTCTAATAGCAAAGTAATTTTGGAATATGTCTAAAGTGCCTTGGCTGCCATTGTGGATGCCAGTGACTTTGGCAATTTGAACGCTGAAAATTTTGATTCTGCCTCTATTTTGATAATGCAAACTTTTTAAAGATAACTGTCAAAATTGATGTTAGTTTCATAGACTACATAATATCAGTTAAATTTTGTCAAGAATTGTATCTCTTTTTACTAACACTATATAAATTTCATGATTGTTATTAATTTGATTTATTTTCTTTCAAACCCCATTTCCCATTTTGAACTAATTTGAAATTTTTTAATTTATTTCAAAAACAAACAAATTATTTCAAACTTATTCTAAAAATCAATTCTGAAATTATTCCACAATTTTTTAACTAAACTTTGAAAACTAGTTAATCATATCAACTATTTGTTTTCTTAAATGACAATTCTATTTTATGGAAATTAGAACATTCTTGCGTATTCAATAAATATTTGCAATTTAAAAAAGTGATTAACTTCCATTTCATTATTTGGCTAATCCCTAAAACACATTAAAAAATAAATATAAAATTTGTCAAAGCTTATAAAAGAATAAACATGTGATTAAAAACAGTTGGCAAGGATGAGGCTATAGTTGTAATGAGGAATTCAATACTATTAGCAAGCTATTACTGTAACTCAGTGCAACATTAAATTTTTGGAAGTGCTTAGTGATAACTTTACTTGCAATACTTTAGGCAGGCCCCTTAATTAACTGTTTTTCAACATTATGGTTTAAATTTCTGATTTAAATTTGTTTTTAGTTAACATTTTATTCTAAAAAGATCATTATGGCATAACTGGTTCTAAAACATGCATAACCCCTCTGATCAAAAGTGCAAACAAATTCATTAAATTCTCTACTTCTAAAATATAACAGAATGAAGTGGAAGATTTTGCAAATACAAAAAAATAATTTTGCATCATAAAAGGAAACTTTTAGTACTTATAATGGCATTGAGATAAAGATATTTATACGTTTACCTATTTCTTATCTTTGAATTAATGTATAATTTCTCAAACATACCAGTACATGAATTAGCACAATGTCACATATTTTTATGTACAGTGAAAAATAATTAAAGGAAAGACGTAAAAATTCAGGAAATTGAGCTTATCAGGTTGAAAAATAAATTTTGTTAATTAAACTTACCCCACCAACAGAGTTTATATTTTTAGCTGTTAGGTTGTCAAAACATTTTTTATGAATTATTTCTTGTGGACTGGAAGCAAGAACAAGATGCCCAAGTTCTAATCCATTCAAGGTATAATCATCCAGTATTCTTAAACTTCCAGCTCTAAGATCCATAAAGGATAAGTTACCCTTCATAGTTTGGACATTTTTCTTTAAATTCACAAAATCTAATAATAGATAAACAAGTCAAAAGCACATGATAAACAAGCTGGTTATTACTTAAGTAAAAATTTTTATATTATAATAATAATGATCTATAATAACATTCATAAACATGCAATTTGTTCTTAAGAAATTCTGTATTAATTTTATCAACATTTACACTAATTATTACAATAATGGATTATATAATCATTTATATGGTAATGCATATTTATGTTACATTTAACTTTTATTTCCAGAAATAATTGATTAAAAATAAAAGTTCTGAAGCAAAACAGCCAAATTTCTATGAAATAATTTTGCAGCAATAATTTGAAAAGAAACATTTATACCCTTGCGGAATAATGAGTTTGGTTCTATGAAAAAAGAAGATATTAGCTCAGAAATTGCATTATATGCACACTGCAAACAAAACAAACTCATGTTCAATTTACATTTATATCATGAGAGAAAATGGTTTGGTTTTTATAAAATAACTATATCCCAGGCTATAAAAAATGTGTAAAATAAGATTAATCCCTTTAGAATAACTATTATTCTTTATTTAGTAACTCATTTGTTGATAGTTTGAGTTCAATCCTACAAATAATTACAAAAATATATCATTTTTAAGACCCACAAAATTAAAACTCTTAAAATATCTTAGTCTGTATATATCATTTCATGCTTTACAAATAAATTACAGATTAAATTACATATTTAAAACTTCATAATATGCATAAAAGAAACAGGGCTACACTACTCATTTCATGCTTTACAAATGAATTACAGATTAAATTACATATTTAAAACTTCATAATATGCATAAAAGAAACAGGGCTACATTACTGTCCACTAAAATATGTAGTCAATTTAAAAAAAAAAAGAGCAAAATTTAGGCATTTTCAAAATTTAAATTTAATGTCAGAAATAAACATGAACGTGGTATATAATATTGTATAAATTTAATATTTAATTTTGATGTATGCAAAAGCAAAATTAATACATGCATATTAATAAATATAACGCATATTCAAAGGCTTATTAATATTTGAATATTGTTGATTAGTATAATATTAGTCCTCCAAAATAAAGAAGTAATAGAATTGAAATTATTTTCACTAAATGTATAATTTCTCCCATTTAGCTCAAATGCCAACAAGTAACAGTAACGATTAAAAGAACACAAAAAGTAGTTAAAAATTATTTGTAGACTTAGTGTTATTTACCTGAAAACAGCACCAAGAAAGAGAATATTAATGAACTATTATTAGAAAAACTGTGACAACACAAATATTACACTTTTTCAAATAAATATTTGTAAATAATCCCTCATCAGAAGTTTTTGGTTTTTATTTCACATCCAATTACTTTCTGTAAAATTACTACATAGATTGCACTATTGCACTACTAATAAGAAATTACTGTTTTAATGTCAAATAGAAAACTATCAAATATAGTATAATCACATGGATTATATGTTATGAAATATATAAATGTATATAAGTATGAAATAACTAGTTCCAGTTTAAAATGTTGGACAAACATGAAATGAAAAAACCATGGATGTTATTTCATAAATTTATAAAAATTGAAACCTTCAAATAAAGTACTTGTAAAAAAATAATAAAAGTTATATTGCTTCTTACCATTTACAGACTTGGAATTTAAGAAAGTCACCTCAATATCTTTAGCATTTACAGACGTGACAGTCATATTAGAAAGACAGGTCTGCTGTCCTTTCCCAAGTTTAAGAGCTGATTTAAGTACGGAAGTGTTGATACCATTAATCAAAGATATTGTAAGCTCTGCAATAGTGCCATTAATTTTCATCTCTTTTTCAAAACGAAGGTTTGCTGCAAATAAAAATCAATAAATTAGATTTTAGATATACATTTTTAAAATTACAATTTCATGTAAGGAAAAAATGACATTCTTTATAACTTTCTAAAATTATAAAATAATGCAAGTATTGAAATTTCACATACCACAGGTCCCTTATCCCATTTTCTCATTAATTTTTTTAATACATTTAAACATATCATGCACTCAAAAATAAATCGGAATGAAAACATTCTGAGAGTTCTATCATTAAATACCATGATTTGACTAAAATACAATTTATCCCAACTTAATTAGTATACCTGATCTGAAATTAAATTTGATTTTATTCCTAGTATGATTGCATACAGTAAAACATTCAAAATCTGCATCATTCACTCTTCCATCAAAAGATGGTGCTAGAAGTTTTGCTGTTATTTGACTAGAAAATTTTCAATCTTTTTTTTTTTTTTTTTTTCTGTTCTAACATATCAAACATATGTTTTGTTGTTTTTACTTTCCCAGTTGAAGAATGTTGGTTCTATTAGATTTTTGAAACTATAATATTGCAAGTTTACTCAAACTATGCCAATTCTGGTTATTGTTAGTTATTTTATGGTGAAATGCTATTATACAGGATTTCCTAAGGAAAACTGTATGTACTTACCCTACACATGGAAAACCCCATACAGAAGCCTATTTACTCCCTCAGAATAAAACCTGTATGAACTATTATGTCAATATTTTGTCATTAGGACACTGGTAGGTCTTCATCAGAAACTTATTAAAATTTTTCAGAATAATTTACACTTAAATGATTTAAATTCATTATCTGAATTTTAATAAGTAGCTCTAACTGACAAATTTCACCAGCTCTGTCCATAACAACATTTTATTGATCTGGTAAACACCCAGTCAAAGGCATTTGTAAGAGCATTTTATATTTACACTGAAATACAGTGGTATGAATAAGGGCTCCCCCCGCCGTTTCTATGAGTTGGTTGAGATATTTTGAATGAAAATGGGCTTTCTACACTGTAGCAAAAATTTAAGACATATATATTCTTTTTTCAATATGATAATGCATCTATTCACAAAATACTTGTTTTAGATATGAAAATAAGGACAGCTGAAAAGAATCTAACCATTTGGCACAAAGCCCCAACTTTAAATCACAAAAAAATATCTTCAACCTGAATTGCAGCACTGGTTGCATGCCGAAAGTAACTGAACGGCTTTCAATCTTTACCTTATGTAAATTAATGTAAATTTATTAAAGAGTAAGGAGATAAATTACTGCTATTTACCGGAATTTAGATAATTTATTCAAAAAGATATCAATACTAATAACAAAATAGCCTAAAGTAACATCAATTGATTGTGTCCAACAGCTTTTTGCTACATAAAAAGGTCAAAATAGCTGAAAAATATAATTTCTCTCTCTCTCTCTCTCTCTTTTTTTTTTTTTTTTTTAAACAATGGCTAGGAAGAAAATTGCAAAGAACTAAAATCTTATAAACAGAGGTTACAAAACAATAGAACTAAGAACAAAAAGACCAAAGTCATTGCCTAAGGAGTGTTCTTGCCTCCCAGTTGTCTCGACTATTCTGTAAGACCACAAGAGCCCCACATCGAAGCAGGTGGTCTCTGTCCATTTCTTTTCCAGAATCACAAAGTAGGCAAACAAGATTGCTTGAAATCTTTATGCGTTGCAGGGGAACAGCAAGGCAATCATGTCCTGAAGACACATGGAAAGCCATAACTGCATTGCATCTTGGACTATCAGGAATAAGAGAAGGACTTCTCATTCTCCAACTTTCTAAGCTTGTTTGAGTCTTAAAAAGTTGGAGAATGACAAGTCCTTCTCTTAATCAAACTTATCAAGTAACAAAATATTCCATAAACAATATCAATGAAAATATTCTGATACTTATTAATGAAAAAGTTGAATATTTTAAACTTTATATGCGAGGCCTGGAAGAAGTGGCTAAGGCTTTATTTCATTAAAACCAGATTTTTAGATTTGTACTCCCAGCTACAAAGTTTTTCAAAATAAGGTAAATAATGTTCTAAAAACAATGCGAGTATTGTGGATGGGAAGGATACTTGTACAAAAAAAATTCGAATTAGTAAAATATTCGATACATTTGCATTAAAAGAAATGCAGAAAGTTCCATACATGCAAAATTTACAGAGGTATTCAAAAAGAAAATATTAACTTAGGTTTTTTCCAGTGCCTATTACAGAATTTTTAAACAAAATTAGGAAGCAACCATGAACCAAAAATTGTACATTGCAATATTTGCTGGTTTTGTATTAGAATACCAGCACTTATTAAATTCAAAAAATTAATAATACAATTAAATTTGGAACTTGCCCAAAGAAAATGTTACTTACACTTATCCCTATGATTTTTGCTCATTAATATACACACTTTTGTATTTCATTTATTAAAGCACAATAAGTATTTTACAAATTGTAAGTTTTACCCAGCAAGACCATAAAAAAATCAGGTGTTGAAAAAGTATTTTCCTAAAACTGTCTTTATTTTGAGAAAGTGTGTATTCGACAGAAATCTTTAGGCTTGACATTTAATAAAATGAATGCATTTTAAAAATAAAAACATTTTTAAAAGCATGATTTAAGTCTTAAATCAATGTATCATTTATTTTTCTAAAATTAAAAGCAACAGAAATTAAAAAGTATACTTTTGATTTGTTGATATCCAGACTTCAGAACTGCCTTGTTAAGAGTGTTAAATATAATTGTAGATTGATTTTGCAAAACCCTGTAAAGGTTAAAGATTTTCTGAGTTATTCCAATAGCAGTCTTTTCATTTGTAATACCAATTTTCTCTGGAACAGCTTCATTAATTGTCACAGTTCCTAGAAGCAAAAGTTTATTTTAAAATGCAAATAAAGCTTCCACAGCATTGTAAGAAAAATTATTTTATTATTCTTTAATTAAAAAAAAGGAAAATATAGAGTAAATTTTTTTAAATAAGTGACGCTTTACAGGTACACAATACTTTTCTTTTGCTTAAAAAATTACAATCAACTACCTTTCTGCTTCATTTGTTAAAGATGTTAATAGTTGGTTAAAAAAACCAAAATAAATACTTAATAATGATAAACAATACTTACCATTAATAACCACAGAAGGCAAAGCCATTGAGTTGTTCTTCTGCCAAACATTGACCATCTTAGAAGATATATCATCAATTATCTTTGTCTTTTTATTTAAAAGTGTCTCAATACCAATTATACATTCTGGTTCTTTTTCAGTTAACGCAGATTCTTGAGAAGAAACATTTAATTTTAATTTTTGGGGTTATAAAAATATAAAAGCAGAATTTATTTTTAAAAGTAAATAGAGTGGTACAAAATAATTCTTACAAGTCATTTGCATAACAGAAAACATTTTACAGGCAGATTTCTAAAAAATAAATGCCACAAAAACTCAGTTTTCTATTTTATTCCTTTAAGAGAGTAGTATTGTTAAAGTTAACATATGAAAAAATTATAATTTTATTATAATTTTTTCATATGTTAACTTTCATATTAAACATATTAAAGTTAACATATGAAAAAATTATAATTTTATTGAAAAAATGCACATATTTATATACTATATACAAAATAAAAATGTTATACATATTAACTAATGTCATACATAATTTCAAATACATTCATTTTTAAATAAAGTAAAGATATTAAAAAACTTCAATGCCACTGGTAGGTATTCTTGAAGTGTGTTCAAGTTTAATCCAATAAAACAAATGAAAGCTGTCAAGCAACAGTTTGAAAAGATTGATTACATAAACTTTGTTATCTATCAGCTAAAAACTAGATATAAAAGCTTCTACATGACTATCTGATACCAAGATCTTACTTTGTAATGAAAACTGTCAATGAGGAAATAAAATTAAGCATGTGCTATCTTATCAAATGGCATGAATTGTACCATTGAAACAAACTTATGTTCTAAATATCACTGCTAGCAGTAAGATATTGACTAATATTTTGGCATGACCATGTAACAAAGCAACTAAGTGTGAAGTGAAAATAGGCAAACTGACTAAAAGATAAATTCGGCAGGGAAAATTAAAAATGAAAACAATGCCTACTATCTTTTTGAACAGAAAATTAACTGCATAAAAAATTCATGGCCAATGGATATCAGAATATCAAGTGACCACATACTTTTGGGATGCCAGCACCATCCAAAGAAATATTAGAGGTTTTAAATAGTATTTCTTGCATCAATTGTAGGCAAACTTTTGGTTATTTTAGGATCAGGCAAAAAAATTTATGCATTCTGGAAAAATTACTTCAATAACCAATAATATTTTTTTCACATATCCACACTAAGCAGGGCCATTCCTAGCGTAAAATTACGCAGGTGGCAAAAGTTAGGGGTGGCCGGACTCTCGCGTTATCACAAATAAATATTTTAAATTCATTGTAAGTACTTAGCGAGTCTGAAATAATTTTATTAATCACTGAGCTTTTTTTTAAATTGTGGGGCAGCAATACTAGGAACGTACACAGGCAGTCAATGGGCTCAGGAACGGCCTCAACTTTAAATAGGGTTATATGGTATTTCTCACACTTTCTTAGCATGCCTTTGTGGTGTAATGGTCAGTACACTCGACGTGTATTCGAGAGGTCTGAGGTTAGAGTCCTGACGAGGGCACTGCTCATTTTTCACATCGCCTGTGCCAAAATAAACCTAATGCCTCTACAAGGTTATGTTTAAAGAGGCTTATATAGTATAAACTAGTTTTATTTACATAACAGATAATCAATACACTCAAGTAGCCAGCCTGTTTTGCCATTTGGAGGTGAATCCATAATACATCTATCAGTCATTCACATCTCTAACAATAAGAACTCATATTTTTAACTGAAAAGAATTACATTGAATGGTTTAGTTTATCATAAAATTTTTTATCAGACTAATATCAATAAGCTAGGTATTCTTAGTATTTAACATAATATATATTCTAAAGCATTACAACTATGGTTCAAATCTGGCATGGGTTTTCATATATTCTTTAATATAAGAAAACTATAAAGTTAATAAATCTATCAGTTCAATCAGCCCAAGTCTGAAACAGGGCTGGACGATCCACTTCAGAACTGATTCATTTTGACTGAACGAATAAACAATTAATTCTAGAAGATGGAATGGTAGGTTCATAGAGAGCTATTATTGAAAGCATGCCAGGAATAGAGATGTGCTATTCATTCATGAACTAATTAACTTTACTAAACAGGCAAACACCTGATTCACCTGAAAAGAGTGAAGCTTTTGTTGGAAGCTTATCACAGAAGTTCAGTTTCCACTTTATGGAAGAAAAGAATGTTTATTCTTACATGTTAAACTTATTATTTCCCAACTTTTTAAAATTTTTTTATTCTAGAATTTTATCGTTTGTTGTGTGTAGAAAGGATGTTTTTGGGAATAACCGAGTCTATTTTTTCGAACCTACTGCTTGTTTGATTCTTTTCTGTTCTTCAATCAAACCTGACTAACCATAACCGATCCGATTGTTCATTTGATTCCTTTCATTCTTTCCTCCCTCCTCACTAACCACTCAATTCAAGCCCTGTTCCTGATGTTTTTCATTAAGGTTATTCAAAGTGAGCAGCAAGTCATAAAAAAAAACTGATTTGATAGAGTAAACAATTCTGATTTGATATCATAAAACAGTAGTTTTGCCCCATTTTTAATTTGAAATTGGTAAGGCCCAACAAACACAGCAACAATTTTGATCTTCAAAAAGAGGTGGTTATTCTAGAGATGTGACGCTTGACACTGATATTTAGTTATATTCTATGAAATACTGTTTGATTTCAGAGATGATTTTATATGATAGGTGGTTACCATAAAAGGCAACTACTATTATACATAATCACTGCTGTTATTTTGGTTCAAACTGTGACTGGAAATGTTAAGAAAACTATTTAACATTTTTAAAATTGTTTGGCATATTTTTAATACTGAAAGATTATTCTTCAATGTTAATTTATTTCCATTTTTGTATCACAAATTTTGAATTATGAATTATTATAAAACATAAAAAATTCTATAAAAGTATAGAAAAAGTTATTGTGTATTTCCCCATCCCCAATATTGAAAAATCACAAAATTGAAAGAATATGATGATCAAAAGGAGTCTAGATTTCACTGCTTAAAAATATATATAATCAGAATAAATTGCTGCTAAAAGAAAGGATAAAGAAGTAAAATATAGGGTGTCCAACAACTATTGAACACATTTCAAAATTATGTTAGAAAGAATTAAAAGGGATAGGTATAATATGGTTTTATTCACTAACAATATAATTACAAAAATTAACAAATTTTGAAGACAGATCCCTTAGCTCTTCCTGCCAGCTATTGGCAAGCAACCAAGAAATTACAGAATGAACAGCATCTGTGATAGGCTGTTTCAGTTCCTGCAAATTAGCATTAAAAGTCCCTTATAAACAATCTTTAACATAACTTCAATGAATAAAAGCTAATTAAGTTGTACCTGGAAAGTAATGAAGAGAAGAAATGGGACTACTGTGACCAACCTGTTGTGAAAATCTCCATTTAGGGCAATTATGTGTACATACTAGCCAATGTAGAGAAGCACCATCTTGCAGAGTTATACCTTTTGATCTAGGAAGGAGGAGGAAACAATTTCTAACATATCAAAGTAAATGCTATGATTTATCCTATTTTCATAAAAGAAAAGGCCAATCATGAACTTTTTGATAGCATATACGACACAGGATATACAACTTTTGGAGAACTGCCTTCCAGTCTAATTGAAGTATACAGTGATTCACTGCCCCAGATCTGATAATCAGAATGATTCACAGCATCTGATGAATTCTTTAAAAGATAACAGCAAAGAGAAAATTTCCATTGTTTTCTACTTGATTCAGCATTTACCATAAATTTAAATCCTATATTGTGATCATTTAGAAAGCATTCTAAGTACTGTTTTAATTTTATATACAGGATGATTCCAAATTATTTTTACAAATTAAGAGGGATGATAGTACCCATCCAGATGAGCAATAATTACCATAGAACATAGGGTGGCATTCCACTCTGAGAGACAGAAATGAGGAAAGTAGAAACACATCGAAGAAGAACAAAGAGACTATCTCCTAAGGACTGTGAAAAATTAACCATACGCAAATTTGCACTGAGAAGAAGCGGCATTTTGCTCTTAATTGGTGTCGGAGAAAGCCAATTAGAGCAAACTGTGTTCTTGAAAACGGCACATCATTGCTTCAAATATTACCTTAGTAACATCATCTGAAATTTTTCGTGAATGCTATGGCAGAGTACATGTACGAAGAATTGACAGATATTCACCTCGCATACGGTGAAGTAAAAGGGAAGGACATGAAGATTGTGTGAACAGTGGTTTCCCACAAAATGTATGAGCCTGAAATGGAAGAGTGAGTTATCAGCATTTTGAGCCCTTTCTGCGAGTTTTTCACTAAACAATAAATCTGATAGCGCAACTTTTGGTCTCATTCATTTGCTTTCAAAACACTGTTGTAAGTCCAGGTTGGAATTCTAATATTCCTCTTTTCTGCCTCTCAGAGTGGAATGTGACCCTATATTCTATGGTAATTATTGCTCGCCTGGATGGGTACTATCACCCCTCTTAATTTATAAAAACAATTTAGAATCACCATGTATATGAATCTTTAATTTCTTGTGCAAAATATCATCATGAACTGTCAGTTTTGAATTACACAGTTTTCCACTTGTATTACAAATGGATTTCCTTACAGTTTGATAGAAATTATTATGAACATAATTAATAATTTCACTGCTCACATGAGACCTAACTGCTTTACAATATATCATACTGCCAGTTTCTTTAAATCATTTCATCCACTGCTTAAATGAATTCATTGACAAAGGATTAGAACCATATTCTTTCTGGTATCATCTTTTAATTTTCATGATAAACTAATTCTGTTACCCTTAAGTTGTGCATAATTTTCTACCTTACATGCCCTATGACTAGTAAATGAAATTGTCTCAGCCATTTGTCATCATGCCACATATAGCACCATCTATAACATTCTGAACAAAACACTTCTGCAAAACAAAACTTTACATCATGTGAATAATACCTGAAACTGAAAACTAGCAGCGCTCATTTCTTTAAAATAAATTTAAAATGCATCTAATAATTTTTAGACACCCTGTAGATTAACAACACAAAATTAAAAATAAATTGCACAAGATCTAATATTTACCTAAGTTCTGTAAATCTAACTGCAATTTAACCAAAACTGGCGGGTGCAAGTTTTTAAGCACAGGCAGCAGGTATAAATCTGTTTCATTTTTCCATAAAATAATACTTTTCAGTTCACCAAAATTTGAAAAATCAGTAAAGCTTATTTGTTCATACAAATAAGAATACTTCTGCACAAAATATTCCACAGAATTCTAAAAAAAAAAAAAAAAAAAAAAAAAAAAAAAAAAAAAAAAAATTAGTGTAAATTAGTTGACATTTTGTTCAGTCAAATTTAGAATGAAAGGAAATCTAAAGTTGAATGTAACATAATAATACATATGGATAAAAATTAGAAATGAAATAATGAGGTTATGAAATTTAACAAATAAAATATTCTCTTCTGTGTCAGTATGCTGATTTCAATACTTCATGAAAAAGGATATCACTGTGAAAGCCTTTTGGTGTCTCTAGAACTGGAAATATCTAGATCACAAATACTTTCAGGATTAGGATTATTCAATTATGGCAAAGCACATGAGGGCTATCTGCCTAAAGGGAGGAATGCCTTCGTGGAGGACTTTCTAAGGGAAACTGGCTCGTATCCACGTTATACATGGGGAAAACCGCGAAAATGCCCATGCAGCTAGCCCATTCGCGGGATTCGAACGTTGGACCGAACTACCAGTGTTCAACGTCTTTACCACTCGGCCGCTAGTGGGCCCCAAATACTTTCAGAACACTGCATTTATTACATACCAAAAACTATGGCAGTTCTATAGCCCCTTAAAGCTACTCAGCCTGAATATCACTTTTGACAATCTCTATGACATCAATAGAACCGATTTCCAATATGCTAAGACTGAAGGAACAGGTCTTACATTATAAAATTTTACATTTCTGAAGACTAAATCAAAAAAGGTAACAGTGAAATAAAAACAATTTTGATAATATTTTTTTTACATGAAAGGGATTGTGCATTAGAAATTCATTCCTCAGAATAGACAAGGTCATTTACTACAAGACTTCCACCAGTACAGAGATGGAAAGTGGCTGTTTTACAGCAGTAACACTAAAACCACAGCATACTACACAGGTAGGTTTTTGGAAAAAAGAAAATTTGTCATTGTTGCTCATTCTCCCTATTTGTCAGATCCAGCACCACCTGAATTTATTCTTTAGCCTGAAATCCAAACTGAAATGTTATTCCTTTGATCCTGTACAGAACATAAAAAGCATATTCAAATACATATATACAGGTTAAAAGGCATATTCAAATACATAATGGCTAAAGATCTGAAGGACTCCAAGACCTGTACATCAGTGTCATTAATAACTACTTTTACATTATAGGGAGAGACCAGATTTAACTCGGGTAATTTCCAGAAATTTTATTTTCTTGTACATCTCTTTCTGACAGTTCAATAACACACTGAAATCTTTACATAGTCAATGTTAAATTTCTTATGATTGCATATGAAAGTTTACCCTCACAAATACTAAAGCTCATATACATTCATCTAAAATAATCCAAAGAATACTCACATCTGTAGCAATAGCTATCACTGGAACAGTCCAGTACAATTCTATTACTGAAATATCTACCACATCCTTTAAACTGGAAGTCTTAAATTCTTGCTGCTTTAAAAATTTTACTCCTAAAAATATTTTAGAATTGTATATAAAAATTACTTTCAAAATATTTTTTTTTAATTCCTTCTGCAAAAAATAAATAATAAATAAAATAAAATAAAAATAAAATCACAAAATTAAAATTTACTAATCTATATTTACCATTCCACCAATAAATAATAACAGTTTCGTTTAGCCCATGAATCATATAATGATTTCCAGCAACTTTAAAATATTTAATTATATGAGGGCTATTGTCAATAAGTTGAATCAATATCAATTTCCCAGTTTCAACTAAAATGAAAAAGAAAAAGACCAATAAGTATTTAGGCGAGGAGAAAAAAAGAATTTTAATGAGCTATTCAAATTCTATACCTTACATATTAATATTCTATAATTTTCTATATTTAAAGGTAAAATTTCATAGTTTTTATAACTGAATAAAACTCCTCTGAATAGATTTTAAACTTCATAGAGCTAAATAAAATTTAGTAAAGTATGATAAATTGTTTAAATAATTCAACAAATGCACTGTCTTTTGAAGAGGGGACATTATTGTATCAGCTTCCTATTATACCTGGATTACACACCTTTTTTTAATGTCCCCCCTTTTTTTAACAGCTCTAATACAAGTAGTGCTAATAGCAGAAATTTCAGATCATTTTCAAGCTCATTTTTGTATTTCTCATCTTGTCCACACTATGTCTCAAAATCATATTTCTACCATTATTCATGCACTATTGTTACATTGAAAATTAAAAGCAAAAACTAGGTCAAAACTTCCCTAAAAAAAGTTTAGATCATTTTTTTAAATAGTTCTTTTCTTTTTAAAATATTTTAAACTAGCACTTTAAAAATACTTTAAAAAATTCACTTTTACTTTAAGTTTTAAATTAATGACATAATAAAATAATTTTTTTGTAGAAGGCTGGCATGTTATAGTTTTCATATAAGAAATAAGATTATTAATGCTAATAAATATATATTGTTTATGACTGTCATTTAATATTTTAGTTGTAATGAAAATGTAACAGCATGGTTAAAATCCCCCAACAGTAGATCTATGCTATGATAAAACTTTTACATTTCTTCTGAAACTAGCCTTTAATGCTCAACCCAAAGAATAGGAATTTTTTCACTAGAACACATACTATGAAATACCACTAAGAAACAAAGATTTTTATGATTTATGTAGTTTGCTGGAGGAAAACATGCTTTTATAAATTGAAGTTAAATTCATTGCCAACTGACATCAACATGCTTTCATTCTTATTATTCTGAACTAAGAGTATTTTATTAACAGCTGAAAAATAATACATAGCTTGATTATTAAGGGCCGTTTTGTTGTGTACACTAAAAGAAGGCACACGCCGCAATGGGTGCTTGCGCTGTTTCGCTGCACTCCTTGGAAACAACTGTGCTCAGTTGCAGCTATGTAGGTAACCTGTATGATCTGTTATGTGTCTTTAAAATGTTTAAGATTATCGAATCGCCCACCACGTGCAAGGTACGGTCAGTGATATGTTTACTACCAACAAGAAACCTGTCTACTGCAGACGTTCACTAGCAGATTTGTGAAGTTTACAGAGTTACTAACATGAGTGAAAGCAAAGTGCATAAGTGTATCAGACACTTCAAAGCTGGCGGCGAGAATGTCCATGATGAGTCCCGCTCCGGTCATGCATCTGCGATCAGACGATGCGGTGGCTTCAGTTAAAGCAAAAATTCTTGAGAACAGACGCTTCACCATAAACACTCTTTCAAACGAGTTTCTTAAAGTATCTAGGACAGTACTGCACAAGATTGTTTCTAAAAAGTTAAGGTTTAAGAAACTGTGCTCCCGTTGGGTCCCTAAACTCCTAACCGAGGACCACAAAAACAAAAAATCTGAGTGTACACTGAATTTTTTTATTCATTGTAACGAAGAAGGTAACGCCGTGTAGACTCGGACCATGTGAGATGAAAGTAGGTTTCGCATGTCAGGCCCAAATGGAAGAAACAGAGGATGGAGTGGAGATACACTCTTTCTTGTAAAGGTCAAGGCCAAACAGACTGTGTCCCAGCACGAGATCATGAAGTCCACATTTTAGGATAGGCATGATGTTTTGTTAGTCGACTTCATGCAATGCAAAACCACCATAAATGCAGTAGCCAATGTCCAAACCCTGAGAAAGATACACAGAACGATTCAAAACAAAAGACATGGCACCCTGACAGAAGAAATTTTGCTACTCCAGCACAATTCAAATCCTCAACACTGCAGCTCAGATCTGAGCTTTAATGAACTCTTTTGGCTGAGAAGTTCTGAACACCCCTCTATAGCCCAGATCTTGCACCAAGCGATTTTCATCTTTTTGCTCTCTAAAATATTGGCAGCAACCATTTCAACAATGACGGAGATATGAAAATGGCTGTGAATTCTTAGTTATTGAAGCAGGCAGCAAGTTTCTATGAAGAGGGTATTCAAAATCTAGTTCTAAGGTGTGAGTGTTTAAACAAACTTGGCAGGTATGTTGAAAAATAGAAAAACATATATAGAATCTGAAAATAAATTTGATTTTGAAAATTTTTTTTCGCTTGGTTTTTTATTTTCAAACAGCTCTTGCTTAAAAAAACACCCCTCGTAACTTTCTAAAGCGTTAAAAAACTAGGATTGAAATCCTCGCAAGCTAGGATTGAAATCCAGTTTGCAGAACATATACATACACATTCATTCAAGGTGTTCATGATACTGGCCTTATTTAATACCATCTCGAAATTTTTTGTACAGTAATGTACACTTTTAATGTATATTTTCATGTCAAATTATAAAAAATATAAAACTCATAATTATACTTTATTTTTCCCTTATACTGACAGAACATTTTTGCAAAAAACATTACGACATTGATTGGTTTGGTAGAGTGAACAGTTATCAGCAAATTTCAAAATCTTGTGTATTTTTAAATAACAGATTATATTTCCTTACAAGCAATCAGCTTTCTCTTAAGACTGAAGAAATATTATAAAGTTTATATATTTAAATACAGGACAGCATAGTTAATACATACAATAAATGGATAAAATACAATCTCTTACATATACACAGGAGCAAAATTTGAATTTTTTTTTTGAGGGGGTGATTTTTTATATGTACTTTTCGGCAAATTTGTAGTAACATTTTTTTAAAATTTTTATTAAAAAATTGTCAACTAAAGTTAAAATTTTTCTTTCTTTTTAATTTTTTTATTGCATCCCGATGGCTACTTTCAATTCATGCATTTGGCCCGCATGCAATACAAGTTAATTAATGTGAATTAATATTGGATTTATCTCAGTGTTGATATGAAAGACTTCTAATAAAATTACCAGTCCAATAAATTACAGAAGTTATTTAATTCCAAATTGCTATAAATCTTAGCATTCAGCAATGTGTATTTTTTCACATCAGTTAAAACTTACTAACTTATACTGTTTTAATTAAAACTTTTCAAGTAATAAAGATCTTTGTTGGAAACCCAACAGAGAAGGTATCTTAAATTGGTAATATATGTAGATTATTATGATGAACGCTTTTTTGATAATAAAACAAATGATTTGAGGCATATGGTGGTATATATTTTCTTACCAAAAGGAATAGAAGCATTATTTAAAAAAAATTATTATTTAAAATAAACAACAATAATGGTAAAAAATCAAATTACAAGCACAACAGATGTAAAAAAAGATATAAGTAATTGCTGTTAAATTATCTGCTTTATAAATGATAATTTTACAACTAATTTAAAACAAAGAGTTTAACAAAATTCTGATGCTAAAATTTTCATAGCAATTTTAATAAAGAAAAAAATTGCAAGAAAAGACTTCATAAAGCACAATTCACAACACAATTCAGCATCATTCATAATTCAGACAAGTAGCATGATTTAGCACCAATTATGAATGATCATATCCTTTAGATTCACAATAATGATTGGCAACCATTGCCAAAATTTCTGTCAATAGCAGACACAAGTACCAAATTTTCATATAAACAGTTATATACATAAGATAGATACTTACAATTACTACATCTCATAATCCTTACATAATTCCTGATACCAAGACTGATAGCAACATAAATCAAACCATCAATATCCCACATTGCTGATGACTTAATGACTGCATTGCCTTGCAGTTCTGTTGTTGAAAGTAAATCAAACTGTGTGTTCATCCATTCATACAATCTAAAAAGGGAGCAAATTTAAAATACTCTTACTAAAATTTTGAGACATGCTTTTCCTAATTTCTTTTAAATAATTCAATGTTTTAAATTATTTCACAACTAATTGTATCAGTTTCTAGCCACCTGCATGGCCAGCTGCTCAAAATAGTTAATTACAAAAGAACAAAAATTATATGCAGATTTTAATAAGAGCAATAAGTATAATTTCATGGGTTCAGCTAGTAATTAATAATAATAGGCATGAAGAACTGTGTTTATAGTCTTTAAATTGCTTTAATGAATTCAATATAATAGAATTTGAAAAACATTGAAGACTATGTATATTCTAAATTTGGTAGTTCTATGTGCTGTCATTTTTCCATAATATGAGGAACATACATACATGCATATAAATTGTTCTAATTCAACAACAGATAAATACAATAATTCAGTAATCATAAATTACAGATATAATTATTTAAGAATTGTCTTTTATAGTAAATAGAATAATATTACTAACTTAGAAATTTAAAAATAAATCAACTAGAGGAAAAAACCTATTAAAATAAATTCTGAAGTTGATCATTTCTTCAAAAAATTATTAAACAGAGGAAATGAAAATTCAACATCATATACATATGTATATGATACAAGGAGAAACATATATAAATGTATTACAAATGAACATTTTTTTAATTCAAAGTAAAAATAATAACAAGACATTTAAGTTTTTTACAAACTCATTAAAATCTGTTTTGCCATTTTGAACTCATCATGAACTATTTTCTAACTTTTTTTTAATATTTTATTCCAGAATAAATATTACAGAGCTTGCTAAATAAAGAAATGGCTAACAGTTTTAGCAACTAGCCCATTCACCGAGATTTGAACAGTTTCCAGCAGTCTTTCCACTCAGCCGCAGGTGGACTTTATTTTGTGTCAACTCAACAAATTAGATACAAAGGTATGAACATTTTATTAATATATGGCACTTAAAAACATTTAACACTATATCTGAAAGTGGCATGCAGAGATCTTAGTTGGAAGAAAAATCACATTTATGACACACCTGCTTATTCTGTTGAATATTATATTCTTCATCCCTAGAGATTTTGAAACTAAGAATTTTTTTGTAGGCAGGGGTCTGCATTGGATCATTCTCAATACTAGAAATCTGAATTTCGGTATTTATATTACAGTGGAGTAACAGTTCACTGCAATCTAAATTTCTAGTAATTGTTCTAATAAAAGTATTACTATAAACACAGCGAGTGATTCAGGCATGATTGATGTTTCAACCAATTTCCTAGTTAAAAAAATATATTAATACATATTTACTTCTTAACTACAATAAATTCTTAATTTTTGGCATCTTTCTTAAAATGTTTTATCTGCACAAACTTTCAAGATATTGGATAAAATACATAAATGCTATGTCTTGAGATATTTTAAAGAAAACAGGCTCTAGTTCATCAATATAAATATTCTGTATAATTTCAGCATTACAATGTGCCAGAAATGTTACTTAGTTAAAGTGCTCAAAAAATTTAACCAATTCTCATTTTCTGAAGTACTCTTTCAAATTCCTGTGTATAATACCTCAAAACCTTAGAAGTAACACTTTCCGGAGAATATAATTTAGCTTACACTTGTTACTATGATTTTGCATTAACCAGTTATTCATAATTTCAGCCATTAACTTCTTTTTTGTTTCCTCACCATAAATGCAAATGAGTTAGATAATACTTAAGCTGATGTTTTAGGATTGTAAGACAGAGGTTGTTTCAATTTCTCAAGGCCACATAACTTTAGTTTTGCCATCTCGATTAATTTTGTAATCATTCGGCTTTGCGCTATTTGCTGCCGATACTTAATTTGCTATGCCAATTCGAGTTTTGAGAGCTAACTTAAATTTAACCGTGTATGTTTAAGTTAAATTTGAATGTTGCAAATGATGGTTTATTTCTGCAAGCATGAGGAGTGGATTTACATTCTAAGTTCTATTAAATAAAAAGGTTGTTTAAAACCTATTCAAGTCTCTGTAGCTGTTTCGGGCACATCAATAATTCGCTTGGTCTGTTAGGAGTTTGTGCTCCCAAAGTAAATCAAACTCTATAGGAAAAGACTAATAAAAACTTTATAAATATTGCCATATTAAAATTTTATTTTAATGGTTAAATATTGAAAATTTTAATCTAAAAATGAACAATTTATTAATTTGATAATATTACATATCAGTAAATTTTAAATTAAGATCTAATTATTATACATCATTTAACTGAATTTCAGTTAGCAATGCAAAAACTTTAACTAAACATGTAACTTTTTTAAAAAACAGATATACTAGCGCATATTACTAAGCATTTAAACGAGCAAATCTATATTCCAGAAATCGAAAACTTAAATTTTTTTCAAGTCTCAAACAAATTTTGTTTATTACATAATTCAATTTTAAGTTAAATTTTTCACAGTTAAAACAATAAAGGTATACAATTACATGAAACAGATGTCATCCTAATAACCCCAATATACATCCTACTTCTATTTGAAATTTACATGTATTACTCATTAACATACCTTCGATCAGAATTTATGTTGTATAGATAATTTTCTAATGTGATGTATAAAAAATTACAGCAAAACCACCCAAAACAATTATTTTAAGACCACCTTTAAAAATTATAATTAAATACTGGTATTAAAAAGTCACTGCGAATCGGGTTCTCTAGGGAGACTATCTTCACAGAAGATCAAAATCTTAAATAATGGGTGGTCATTAGAAACTTTCTTCAGGTATTCACATGAATTATCTTACAATGTAAAATGACTTTTTAATCTTTAACTTCAACAAAAATAGAAGAAAACATGTTGAAAATTTTATACTTACTGTAAAACAATATCAGAAGGGGTCATAGATGCTATTAAAAGAAAGTTTCTCTTTTTAGCTTTTGCAATAGAAATAAAAGAGAGTCCCTTTAAGTTTATCTGCATTTTTTTGTTTATGGATAAATTATTATAATCATAAACTTGAATGAAATAGTTTTCTTTTCTTTGTTGATACATGGCAACTAGCCATAGTCCATATTCATTACAAAATGCCTGAAAATTAAAATAAACAGATTGAAAAACTGAAAACAAAATTAAAAACTTTAAAAAAATTTATACGTTAATATAAACATACCTGTAAATCAATAATCTTATGTCGTGACAAAGGTGAGTTGAGCAAAACAAGTTTAAAATTCCAAAAAATAGTAATTTTACCATCTGTAGTCCCACCAAAAATAAGTTCCGTTTCATTAACATTCACAGAATACCAAGCAGTTATAGAATCAGAGGAATTGAATGTTAATTCTGTAACATTTGATGAAAGAGACAACAGAAATATTCCTATTAAAACAATTTCATCATGTTAGTGACATGAAACAACTAAATCCCCAAAACAAGAAAGAAGAAGCTAGCTTTTCACAACAAATTAGTAATATATAGCCAATAAATTTATATAAAAACTGCATGATTAATTTATGTAATTTTTAAATGACAACACAAATTCTTAAAGAAAAAAAAACCCAAAAAAAAAAAAAAAAAAAATTTTAAACCAGATTTCCATATCAAATCTTTAATTACATTAATTCAAATAAGATAATTTATTAACATTCAGTAAATTTTCACATTTATACAAAGCTAACAGTTTAAAAGTTTTTTAATGGAGTAGAAAATTAAATATACTTATAACTGCTTATTCCACATGTACTCTATAAGCAAGCTTTGTAATGAAAGTAATTTGAATGCGACATTTGTGTGAATTTGTATATTTAAAGTTTTCTACAGCATTTGAACATATTTTAATACAGTTAAAAGTCGTTAATCAAACAAATAAATATTAAGCTTTTTTTTTGTAAATTTTGATACCCTTTAGATCATAATTGTTCTTTATTTCATAAATTACGGTTTCATATTTTTAATTTTATAATTTCTGCATGCCATCTTACCAGATTTAAACTGATGATCTATAATCCGGACTCGTCGGGACTTGGCGATTCCGGATTATAGATCATCAGCTTAAATCTGGTAAGATGGCATGCAGAAATTACAAAATTAAAAATATGAAACCGTAATTTATGAAATAAAGAACAATTATGATCTAAAGGGTATCAAAATTTACAAAAAAAAAGCTTAATATTTATTTGTTTACTTTATTAAACATTTCTTTCAATGTAAATTGTTTAAGTTGCTTCATTTTTTATGTGATAATACATTCTCTTTAATTCTTTAAACAGACATAATTTCTTGTTCAGTTACAAAGTTCCGCTGTTCAAGTCCTATAATTGCTGTGTCGAGAATACCGACTAATTTTTCAATTGAAATTTTTTCGTTTTCAATAACCTCTGTCACTTTCTTCACTATCAGAAGCGAATTATAATGACAAGGAATTTGATTTAAATCATATCAAAGATGGGGTACATCGAGATGAAATACTACATTTAATAAGGAATTATAAGCAAATAAAATAAAAACTTCTGCCCTGAAGATAAGGATAGTGCTGACAGATCAACTTTCAAATCATTGTGCGGTGCCGCGGCGTTAAAGATAAACTAAGTTTAGATAAACAAAGGATATGCCTTTATCCATTTTTTGTAGCAATTCCACTTTTTGTTTAATGAACTTCAAAACATACTTTTGCTTTGTAGATCATTTACATATTAATAAATATATATCAGAAATTCTATTTGACATAATCGAAAGTTCAAGCTTACTTTTATAAAATTGCTCTAACAGTCTGCAAAAAATAATAAGCCGGATCCAATTCGAAGATTAAGGAACAATGCAATCTGCAACATTAACTGAAATAGATGATTAAATAATTTTAGCTTAGCTTTTACCGTCAGTTCTACATTAAACGCACACTCGTAAACGTATTTTACGCACGTGCACAAGTATATTCTCAGCCGTAAAGGCCTTACGCGCATGCGTCAACCCGACGCATGTGCAGAAAGTTTGAAGCTTTGAGGTCCGGATTATAGATAATTCCGGATTATGGGTGTCCGAATTAACGACTTTTGACTGTATACTGATATATCTGACCTAATGTTAAGGTGTTAAGCTATTCATTTAAACACTTACTTTTAACGGAAAAGAAAATTATATCCAAAAACAATTAAATTAAGTTTTGTGAAGTTTCCTTCCTCTTTTCATTAATGTCAATGTAGAGAAATTTTGTATACTCATTTTCAATAAAATGAATATCCATGTTCAGCTATATATAAAATAAATTCATAAACTGCAGTTTTATTTCTAAGCAAGTAATAAAATAATTCCTAATTTAAATGTTACATAATGTTAAAAATGTTACATAAAGTAAATAAATTTTAAAAATTTCTGATCAGTATATAATGCAAAGGATCCTCTTGGATCAGCATTTCTCAAAACCTTTTTCAAGTGGGGACTTCTTTTATAAATTAGAATAATCTGAGCACGTCTTATTATTTTCTTCATATACTTATATATTTAAAATACATTTAATTGTTTTGAATGAGAAATCCATTAGTATGGTAACTGATAATAAATTTTATAAAATGTCAATCTTCGCAGAAAAATGACAAACAATTGCCATGTATAGCTATAGGGTGGTACATACAGTTATTATTATTATTTATTTTATGGCCTTTTTTTTTTAAATCTAAGAAGATCACAAAAACAGGCTATGATGATTACTTCTGGTTCGCAGACTACAGTTTGAGAAATGCTGTCTAAAATTATGCAGTTTTCCATTAAAAGTACTATTTAATCTCATTCTATTATTTGAGTTTTAAATAGTTTTAATAAAAACTATTTAAAAGTAATTTAAGAAAACTTAATAAATTCTGTAACCATTATTAAATATTGCTGCAGTACAAAATTATAAATTTTTTTTGCTGTGATAAAAGTCAGTTAACTAATAAAATATTTGATTTAAAATAAGTCTTCTTATAAGAGAACTCCATAGAAATATTGCAGAAATTTTCGGCTGGAATTACTTTGGACAGTATAAAAGGTTGCTAACTTAAAAAGTATTTTTAAGAGTTACATTATCAGAAAAAAATTCAGATTTGCATTAAAAGTAGGAAAAATTCTAAACAAACAAAACAGTGTGGACAAAGATTCACCCAAACATAGGATAAAATCAGCAGCATCCAGTAACAGTTATTGTCTATTGGTTATATAACAAATTACTGAACAGCTACTGATAGTTAATATAAAAATCACGTGAAAACACTAAAAAACCAGTATCTTTTTCCTTTTAACAATCAGATTCCTCTTCAGGAAATCACATAAACAGAAAAATGACAATTGTTTACATTTTGTCAGTGGCACTTATGACAAACAACATAGACTTTCTTTGCTTATGATTCCTTTTCCTGGACTACCTTTTTCTCTTTAACAAGCTAAATCAATATTCTAAAAACGGTTTTGAGCAAGAAAAATTATCTTTATATAATATATATTCATAAGCTATTAGTTTATACATATTCTAATAGCTTATGAATTTTTATCTTTATACATATATACAACCTCCCATATACTCTGGAAAATAGCTTTTTTTTAGTTATTGTCACTTTTCAGATGTTTGTTCTAAAATCTTCTCTTTTAAGATTATCTAAACGTACATAGATTGAAACAATCTAAAAAAATTGTTCATAAAATCTAAATACCGGCTCAAATATATTCTTGTTTCTGTTATTGAATATTATCGTAGATGAAAATACAGACAGACAGCTAATAACTCAAGTACCCAAAAAATTAAAAGAAAACTAAAATGCCGAAATATGCAAGATGTAATCAAACTTGAGTTTGGAACTAAAATTACAAATATGAGTTCAACTTATGTCTTAACATCGTATTTCGCGCCTGCAATTTCACAGTTAGCTAGGAGTGAAAGGGAAATTTGGGGAAAATGAAGACTGATGAAATTTTCCCTGAGCACCTGAAACATTTCCCTGTTTTCTAAGGGAAATCAGAATAAGTATGATTATGATGAGAATATTGTGCCCTAGATCAGCGGTCCTCAACCTTTTGACTAGCACGTAGCATCTAAACAAAAATTAAAAACCTTTAGCACCACCACTACAAAGTATATATTCCACCACTCTTGAACAAAGCTCAAATCGCATAAATTTAGAAGTATTAGAGAAAAAACTATGTCAGCGTGCTGGGGCTTTAATTTTTGGATTTAATAGTTAAAAACACTTTGCTTCTTTGCGTATTACCTATTTTTCTCTTGCGTACCACAGGTTGAGAACCCATGCCCTTAGATGATTGGATAAGCATCTAATTTCCAAGGAGTTTAGAATAGACCTCCTCGCTTTTCTAACTTCCTTGCTACATTTTTCCAAAGATTCTCCCAAATTCCAAAAGAAACATTTCAAGAATAGAAATTTCTAGGGAATGCCTATTGCAGATAAAAGGCAATTTCAATTTCCCAAAGAAATTTTTAGTAATGGTCGTTACTGCCGGAAGCACACCGTGGTCTTAAAAACCGTTCATCATTGAGAACTTTTCCGTAAGGAGAAATTTAAGAGCCATTGCCCAGGAGCAGTGCTTACATTGCGTCGGAGCCAGGCTCTGGTACTTCTCAATTTTTAAGATAAATTACAGTTCTAGCCGGAGCGCGCCGAAGCCCTAAATAAGATGAGCTCCGTTACTTCATTTTATAAAACTGAAGCACAATTTAAAGGGAAAAAATTTTAGAACTCCTAACATTTTAGTTTAACAATAAGCAGACCTTGCAATACTCGTATTTCTCTGGAAATAGGAACTTATGAGAACATGATACGTTCAAGTAAAGTCCCTTCACTCGCATGCGGAAACCTTTCCCTTTAAGAAGGTCAATAAATTTGGGGGAGTTTGTTTAGGAACGCGTAAATTTCTCGCCATACCATCGTATCTACTGTATTGTTATCGATGCTTACAATTAGTTATCTTAGCAAGAAGGAAAATTTGTGTTCATAAATGTGCGTTAAGTGACAGTGAGTACAATAAGAGTGAAATATTAACTGCTCAAGCACGTCCTATACATCGATCGCCTTCCCACAGTATCCACTAATAAGGGGTGGGAGCGTAACCAACAACTTTACATTCATCCCTTAGGAGTCAGATTCAGGACTCATTTTACCCCTGACACACATCTACTTGATGGCTGTAATTAGTATATCAGCAGAGAGCCTCGGTCAAAAAGAACGTCTCTCTCACCAAGATTCCCCTCATTTTTTGTTTCCATCCAATCATACCCCCATTCTGTATCGCGCTGGAATTTTCATCAGCTATCCTTTAAATATATTTAATTTTTGTGATGATAAAAGAAACCCCCCCTACGATCAGAGCTTAAATTGGGCCAGAGCCCACCGGATCTC